GTTCCCGGGAGGGGCCTCCTGGACGTCGGGCACCCGGCCGGGGGCTGGCGTGGCTCGGGGGCTCCCCCCGGCGCTGGCCTTAGGGCGCCTTTGCTTTCTGACGTGCCCCAGCGCCAGCCACGGCCCCCGTCTGGTGTGGCCTCTGCTCTGCCCTTGTCCTCGCCCACTTTCCTCCGCTGTCACTTTCCGCAGATTCACTTTCCTCAGACCCTGCTTCAGTTGTCTTTTGCTCCGAAAGTCTGGTCGCTGCTCTTTGCAGGCACAGCCCGTCCCCCGCGTCTCCGACGCGCCCGTGGACCCTACCCTGGCGCTTACTCAGCTTCCCCAACTTTCCAGACTCGCATGTGACCGATGGCGGCACTTTGGCCCGGGGAGGGCTACCTGCTGGTGCCTTGACGTCTACAAAAATGCGTGTGAGCCTGTGAGCTCAGCCACCTGATTAGAACCCCAGCTCCTAATAAGGGAGCCCCAGAAGTTCCGGGGATTGTTTTGGCTCGGAGAGGAGCCACCTGTTCGCTCGCATTAGTTAGTAGAATTCCTTTAGGAGGACTCGCCCCTGCGTTATCTATGATATGGAGGGGACACTCAGTAGGACAGGGCGGACATCAAGGTTCGATACTTGCAGATTTCATCCAGTTTGATATTTTTTCCTTTATAGTTCTGTGATATGTGCAATAATGGACCAGAAAATCTTATCTCTGGCAGCAGAAAAGTCAGCAGACAGACTCCAGGAATTCCTTCAAACCCTGGGAGGAGATGATGTGAGTAATCGGAGGCTGTTCCAAAGCTCCCGTCAGGCGTGGCGATGAATTAAGGGCGCGTTAGAGGAAGTCTGATGCTCTGCTGCCTCCTCCGGTCTTAACCCTGTAGGAGACGTGAGGTAGTGTGGCGGTAATTCACAGTTAGAAAGAAACGGGAGCGAGGCGAAATGGCCGGCCGATGGGCGTGTGTACGTTTCCATGCCTGCATGGCATTTGTAATAATTACTAAGCAAATTACTGCTGCTGTTTTTACAACACACGCGTCTGAAAGAAATGCCCAGACTAGAGCTGATGTAAGGCATTAGATTTGCCTATTGACGCATCTATATTTTATAAGGAAAATAAATGCATAAGCACTACCACACGTAAGTCCTGGCTTTTTTTTTTTTTTTTTCAGTAGAGTCGTTTATTGCAGTGGTGTGGGTGAAGCGGTTCTGAAGTCATAGGTGTGTGCCAGGGTGGATGCTCTTGGGTCATGGCTCGGGTGGTGGTGGCAAGGGCACTGTGGCATGTGGGGGCACAAAGAAAACTGTGTGGGCATAGGTTAGGCATGGAGATGCTGCCTGAACCCAGGGTTTCTCAAATTTATATATATGTGCATGCATACATTTGGGGGTGTATACGTGCATATTCCTCTGCCCCTCTCCACCTGCTGATGTAACTAAGATGCCACAGTGGCCACAGACACACCCACCACCGGGTCTCTAAGAACCATTCCCCACCAGAAGGGACGAGGGCTTTTTGGAGAAATGACTGATTTTGTAGGTGGCATAACGATGAGCCTGGATAAATGCGGTGTCGTGAAGTGCTCCCAAAATGGTGGGGTCATGTCCCGGGACAGCGGCTTGCAGGGACTCCCGTTGGCCAACCCCAGGGGCTGTTTGAACATTAAAATAACGAAGTCCAATTATGAACTTCGAGGCACTGAAAAGCAGACATTCACGAGTCCAAATTGATGATAAATAAATGGGAAGGGGGCTTTCACAGTCCTAGGAGTAGAAAATGAATTTTTCACCACCATGATGAAGATAGAATTAAGTAAGAAGCATAAGAGAATGCTAATTCCAGAGAAAATATTTTTATGCATTTCCTTTGAGCTGCTTTTAGATTTATAGAAAAGCAATAGGCTTTTCATGTATCCCTTCCCCAGTACTAGCGTCTAACTAACCTCAGCAAAAAGTTTTAAATGAGGATGTTAACGATGATATGGTGCCGTGGGTGAACTCCACCTGCAGTCCCCCCTCAGCGTCCGAATGCTCTAGAATGCCAAGAGGCCACACTGTACTTAGTTGTTCGCTGCTCTGCAGTCTGCAGTAGCTCTGTCTTTGTCTCGTGAGCTCGGTAACCTGGAAGGCTATGGGCGGTTGGTGGCCCCCAAGCAGGACCTGTGGTGTCGTTAGCAAGGGAGAACTAGAAGGGAGCAGGTCATTTGCGTGCGTTCACAGGGTGTTCTTGGCGCTTGCCGCAGAAGGAGGCCATTTATGAGGTGGGAAATTGGGCCGTTTCCTCAGAAGGGACATCAGCTGTGAGGGATGCCCGGCCCCTCTGACGTAATGTTCACCTTAAAAGGACACGTTTATTGGGCAGAGGAGAGAGACACATGTGTAGGCACAGCCGGAGGGCGGAGAGCTGCTCAGATGTGATTTCTAGGGCAGTCACTTGGGTTCTGGCCAAGAATAAATATGTTCGGTCTTAGAGGAAATGAACATCCAAAAATGAGTGTTGTTCTGTTAAAAAAAATCTATACTTGGCCCTCACTGGTGGCGCAGTGGGTTAAAACACAGCACTGAGAATCTGGAGCCGCTTCCGCATGAGTTCGATTCCCACCTGCCCTGGAGGTGACCACATGGTGTGGCGGACCTCTCCTGACCCACCCGCTGCTCCCCTCAGCAGTGTACTTCCTCGATCTGCCTGTTCTGTTCCCCACTCTGTCTCTGGTGAAGCCTCTCACTGCCTCTGAGCCTCTGGCCTGTACCCCAGTTCTGTATGCACAAATAAATAAATCTTAAAAAAAAAAAGAATCTATACTTTATTTGGACCATGCCATTAGTGTGGTAGTTCTGGTCAACCATAAGGGGGAAAAAAGTCAAAGCTCCAGAATGGCAAGAATACTTCATCTGACTTGGTTTGTCTGTTATGTTTTAAAAGGCAATGAAAACCAGGTAAGTTCAGAAATCCGTAGGTGGCTTGGGTAGCGTGGGCATTCAACAGTGTTAATTCTTTCAGTACATGCCATAGAGAAGCTGTTTTTTTTGTTTGTTTGTTTTTTTAAAGATTATTTAGTTATGCATACAAGAACTGGGGTGTAGACCAGAGGTGCCGGGTGGGGGGTGCTGGTGAGAGGACTCACCAGAGACAGAGTGGGGGACGGGCAGATCCACTGAAACACACTGCTGGGGGGAGCAGGGAGACAGGAGAGGCCTGCTGCACCCTGTGGTCACTCCTTGGCTGGGAATTGAACTTGTGCTACACGGGCTGCGGACAGCTTCAGAGTGCTGAGACTTAAACCCTGCGCCACCAGGGAGGCCCAGAGTAGCTTTTTTTTTTAATTGTTTTTTCCATCAGTGTCTCACAATTTTGAATACAGATCTTTCACCGTCTCAGTTAAATTTGCTTCTACGTAGTCTAAGATTGATTTTTTAAAAATATTTCACACTCCTCTCTGTCCTTAGTTATTATGTCTCTGGCTCTTGTTTACATACATATTTGTGTATCCCTTTCCCTCCTCCACTGTTGACTGAGTCAGATTACCATGTTTCTCTTCTTCCTCCTGTATCCCTGTGCTGAGGAAAGAGACGATGCTAAAAATGTATTTGTTGAGTATTTATTCCCAAGAACACAGCTCAGTGCTGATTAAATACTTGGTAAGTATTTGTAGAGTGAGTGTGTAAGTAAATTTCGGTCCTGGTACTGCAGCATCATATTAGGATCTGTCCTGCTCTGTTTACATAAATGTGATGTTTGTGATACTTGGAGCCTTGGAATGATTTGAACCTGACAGCTAATTGTTTGATCGTGTGAACGCAGCATGTCGGGTCTCCAGACTGCAGCTTTCCCTTTGATTGCAGTTGGCTGGTCTCCTTCGGAACCGGTTGCTGGAGGGAAAGGCTGCCGGAGCCCTGCTGAGAGCCATCTTCAAAGGTAAGGGAGGAAGCCTTCTCTGCCCCGGCTCACTGTTGGATGTGCTCAGTCCTGGCACATGTTGTTGCACTTTACCCGTTTGAAGCCCCACTGGGACGCGTTTTGTGTGTTTGGGAGTCTACAGATTTAGTTAGAGCTGCAGCCTCTTGTCCTGTGGTCTTCAGCCATCTTACTGGAGTGGCTTGAGGTAGCTACCAAGGTGGTATTATCGCTGCTTTGGGCACCTGTAAAGGATACACTTTATAACATCTGCTTTAGTTTACTTGTGCTTTTACAATTGTGGAGAAAGCAAATGTTTAGAGCTTATCTGTGCTGAACAGGGGAGGAGCCGGGAACTCCTTTTGGTGAAATGGAGTGTCTTGGTGCCTTCCGGAGAGGCTTGATTCCCAGCGTGCTGTAATGTTCCTGTGTAAATGGCAGGTGTAATTCATGCCGGTTTTATAAACTGTGATAGGATAAAATTCTACAAGGAAAAGTTTGAAAGTGACCTTTTTTCACAGATTATTTTAACTTGGTTAGTGTTCTTTAAGTAAATTGGGTCTTTACTGCAAAGGTTCAAAAAACATATCTTTCTGTACATGAAAAAAGTTTTAGAATTGCTTGAGTCAACCTTTTTGAAAATTGCTAAATGACATTTTGTAGAAATCCTAGAGAAGAGGAAATACTGAAGCAGAAGCGCTGCCTAGTGATGAATCACAGTAGCAATTAACAGTCACTTTCACTAGTAAGTGAAAGAAATGAAAATGACTTTTTCCTTGTACAGGCTAGCCTGGGCGTAGCTGGCTTTTTTCACCTAATTAAAAAACCTTGGAAAGCAGGAAGGACCAGAATTGTTTTAATCCTGTTAATTGATGATGTAAAGATGAGCAGTTAGCTTACGGTGACGTTATTTAAAACTGGGTATCAGTCCCAGAGAAAATAGTCACCCTTTTGAAGCATGCAGTTGTTAGCTGAGACGTAACTGACATACATGATTCACCTCTGGTGGGTTTTGGTGTTCCATCACCATAATCGAGTAATATTTTATTACTCTTAAAAGAGCCTGTGCCTCTTCGCTGTCCCCTCTCCCTACACCAGGCCTTCAGAAAGCAGGTGTCAGTGGGCCTCTTCTGGGTACTTCATGTGGACGGGATCGTGCAAGACGCGGCCTTTGTGAGTCAGGCAGCGCCCATGTAGCTGCATCGCTGCTTTGGTCATTGTCTGGTTCATCACATTTTCCCATGATGCATTGATGGCGTTTAGGTTGATTCCGATTTCTGGCATGACTAACACCACTCTGAAATGTCGCGACTTTTTGCATCAGTAGGCACATTTTCATTTGCTTGCTGTATCTCTAAGGATGCAGTCGCTCGGCCCCAGGCGACCGCGCAGTTTGCCTTGAGCGCACGTGTGAGGGCTGCTTTCTCGGCGCCTGTCACCATCCTGCTGGCGCCCAGCTTTGCTTTGAAGCTCTTGATGTAGCTACTGGCTTTTTGTTTCTTTTGAGAGAAGTGTCTAGTCAGGCATTTGCACTGTTAAGAATATGGTCTTATAAAATAATTGTTTATGTAAACTACTAAAATAACTGATAAAATAATTTTAACAATTAGGCTGTAATAATTTTTTCTGTATTTTAAAGAGAAGCCTCTTACAAGATACACAGTTTGTAAAATCCTCCCATTCTAGGTTCTTTCATCTTCTTTTTCTGAAGCACAAAGCTTTAAATTTTGATATACAGTTTTTGTTTGTGTTTTCAGTGATTGTCAAAGTAACTAGCTTAATCCAGGGTTATGAAGGATTTATGTAACTTATATAACCAAGTTTATATGCCTTTAGCTTTACCGTTTAGACTTTTGGTCCATTTTCTTCTTTTTAACTACATAAATTTATACCTACAAGAACTGGGTACAGATCAGAGTGGCAGAGGGTGAAGATGGGAAGATGGACTGAAGTCCACTGCTGGGGGCACAGCCGAGAGAAAGGAGAGGTCTGCTGCGCCCTGGGCCATTCCCTGGCCTGCTGGGGGTCAGACTCGTGCTGCAGACTGATGGTAGCTTAATAGCGTTGTCTTTAACCCCTGTGCCACCAGGGAGGCCCCATTTTAGCGTTTTTAATGAAAATGTACACAAGATGACTTTGCTGCCGTGTCTTCCCCACTGTTTCTCCACTTTGCCTTTTCCTGTCCTGCTGGGCAGGCCTGACTCTGCGCTCTAGGCCCTTTTTGCAATGCTGTCTGGTTTTTGTCCGGTGATAGCCTTGCTGGGTGGACACCCACGTGGACGGGTGGCGCTCGCCTCTCCCTGCGCGCATCCGTGGAGAGCACGCTCTTCCCTCTGGACACCGGGCCGTTCTGCCGTTTGCTGCCCTCTGTGGGGTCCACACGGCCTTCCGATGACAGAGCTGGACGTGGCTCTCCTGTCTCCGCTCTTTGGGGAGGGGGGAGACAGGACGTCTGTGAACGTGGGGCAGTGCTGGGGAGGGCTTTTTACAGTCACAAGGGACTGAACTTCATTTTGGCCACTGATTCTTTCGCTGTTGCCACAAGAAAGGACAAGTGTGAGTGCTTAACAATTTCTGCAAAAAAAAAAAAAAAATTAGAAAGCAAGGTTTTGGTAGGGATCATGTTGAATCTTGGAAGTTGGGAAGTATTGCTGTTTTGGTATGTCTTCCATTGTGTGAATCTGTCACATATTTCTATTTACTTAAGTCATCTTTCACTACTTGGAATGATGCTTTATCGTTGTCAGAGTACAGATCTGCACTTCTTCATTAAGGTTACTCTAACGTAATGGTTGTTTTCCAGTTTAGACTTGGGCGCGTTCCTTGTCGTGGGTGGCCACGTGGCAGCCATATTCCCGCAGCCTTCCTTGCTAGCTAGCTCTGGATTCCTTAGCATGTTTTAGGTGTAAGATAATATCATTCATGAAGAGAGATGATCTTACTTCTTCCATCCTGGCTGAAACCGCCTACGGTGGATGGAAATGGCTGGAGGCCGACATCCTTGTCTTGTCCCTGACCCTAGAGAGAGGCCTTCTGACTTCTCATCCTTCAGTGTGATATGACGTGGTTTTACCCACAGATGCCCTTCATTAGATGCAATTCCCATCTTTCTCTAGATTTTAGGGCATTGGGTATCAGATTATTTACATGTTTCTCTTCTGTCTGCTAGGATGATCATGTAGTGAGTAGTGGGATGATTCCATTTTCAAAATGAGACTGCAAAGCTATTTCCCCTGCCAGGTTGCCACTCAGACACGTAAGACTGTCTTGTCTCTGTGCTCCTGTTAAACACACAAGGTTCCCCCTGCTCTGAGGACACTGGAGCCCGTCGGAGACGCAGAATATACACTTGCTGTATCCAGTTGGTGGAATCGGGAGATTTGCAGAAAGAAATAGCCTCCGAGATCATAGGCATACTAATGCTCGAGGTGAGCTGGGAAGATCTTCTTTGGTTTGGGGCAGATTGGGGGGGCTTACCGACAAGCTTGTTGACGGAGCACATCACTAACGCGTGCCTGCGCCAGCCCAGTGCCTCCTTATGCGACAGAGCCAAGTGGAAGGCCGGCGGGCACACGGCAGCTGCGCGCACGTTTCTTGCCTGTGAAGCGTGTCTGAGCGTGTTGCTGCTGGCGAATTCTGGCCTTTAAAGTTCGTCGCGGCCACAGGCTCGCACCACCGCAGAGTGCGGCCGTGGCGCTGTAGGGCCAGCGCCAGGCCTGTCGATTCAGCAGAAGGCGGTTTCCGAGACAGCAGACTTGGAGCTTTCGGTCTCAGGTTTTCATGGTCCCCCGGACTTGTAGGTGCACAACTTCCCGGGACCGCTCCTGGCCGACTTGGCCAGGGAGTTCGTTGACGCTGTGGAGGACGGCAGCCTGAGGCGCGGCGGGTCGCTGGAGCTGCTGCCCGTCGTTCTCACGGCCCTGGCTGCCAGGAGGGAGTCTGTGGCTTCCGGAAAAGGTAGTTCTCCTCGGGTCTGGATGGCTTTCTCGCTCTTCTGCTGCACGTGTTTCTTAGTGTATTTTTTGCATTATTAGATGAACTGAGCGGAGAAGAATGTAAGAAGCAGTTGATAAACACCCTCTGTTCTGGAAGGTGAGTCTTTCTCGCTAATGTGTGGAACTATCTCAACCACAATGGCCAAAAAGAATTAGTGTCAGTTTCAGGAATTTAGATCATTGAGAACTTTTTAGTCTGATTTTTTTTCATAAGATACTGTAAAACCATTTAGTCTGAAATGAATATTTGAGATTATTTACTATATTCTGTTCTATATCCCTGTATAATGTCTGCTTATCTTGATGGTTCTTATCGTACAAACATTTCAACACCAACACTTGTTACAAACAAGCACATATAATAGAGAGATTGCAAGTTACAGTATATAAGCTATGTGAGTTAAAATAGTATTACTTTATGAAACTTGTATTCATTAAGAATGAAATATTTAAAGATGTACAGCATAGGTGAAAAATACTATATAGTCAGTGAAATAAAGAGAAGACTAAATTACTGAGTTACGTAATTGTATGATCCTGCTTGGGTCTACTGGAAAGAACCAGAAGGGAATACTATTCCAGGGTTCTCTGAGCCAGAGATAAGTGCTTTACGACTGCTTGTGTATGACTGCCCACACAGATGTAGGCATGCACAGCACGTGTATGCTGGTCACTCACCCATTTCTTTTTCATCACAGTGTTCATTCAGTGCACATGTCACACCTTGCTGTTCCCATGCATACTTCTGTTCATGTCAGCACATACAGCTCCGTCACCCTCTGTGACAGTTCTGTAGTATTCTGTAATTACTTGACCGGTCTCCAATTGTTAGATTAAGTGTTTTTTTCCAGTAAGTCTGGTTATTGGTTTTTGCTATTACAAAAGGTGTTACATAAAATATCCTTACCTGTTTGGGTGAACTTGAGCAAGCATGTACATGAGATATTTTTCTGGTAGTGAGTTGGGAGGGTCTGTGGGTTGTGTGCTTTTCTAAAGTTGATACGTAGTGCCAGCTTCTCTGAGGACTGGTCACTCTCCACTCGCAGGAACAGTACGTGAATGTGAAGAATGTTTGTTTTGTTCTCATCAGCACTGAGTATCATCAGGTTTTGATTTTGCCAGTCTGATAGGTTAAAAGCTTAGTTACTTCATTGTTTCACTTGACAAAAATTTCATTAACAAATCAGTTTTTAAAAAATGATTTTAATGTCCTTGCCCAAGGGTGCCAAATCACCTTGAAATGACCCTAGAATTTGTTTCCCTTACTAATTTTACAAAATAAGTAAGATAAAGTGAGGTACACTCTCATGTCCTTTGTCATCGTCTTTAACCAGGTGGGACCCACAGTATGCCATCCCGCTCGTCTCCATGTTCAGGCAAGTCTCAGTCCCTTCCCTTACTCCCCGCTCGGAGCTGAAAGGTAGGAAGCTCAAACACTGCTGTCCCCACCCTCGAGTTTCCCGCTAGAGGATCTCCTCTCCTCTTGTTTGGTTTGTTTGTAATGAATTTCCCCCCCACAATGTGACTTTGCTTAACTAAGTGATTGGGTTTTTTCGAGGTTCTCTTAGAGAAGGAAAAAGAAAACCAAAACAGAAGGAGAGTTGTGATGTTTTACTATTGCCCACGTAGGCTTTGGCCTTAGCCTTTAGTCTTTCACCCACAGGGATGTTCCCTTGACTGCAGAAGAAGTGGAGCTTCTGACTGAGAAAGTGTTGAGGATGTTCTCCAAACTTAATCTTCAGGAAATACCACCTTTAGTCTATCAGCTTCTGATTCTCTCCTCAAAGGTACAAGTGAAAATGTTTCTTTTCAACTGTTGTGGAGTGACTAGCTGAGGCCAGTTGGGGCGCTCACACTGCGGCTTTCCTCCTCTAGCGTTGCTGCTTTTACTTCGGGGTGATGGGAAAGGTCATGTGCCTCGTCTGCACGCTTCTCTTCTGCCACAGTTCCGGGGTGTGGTACTAGAAGGGACAGTGACCTCAACACGTCGCTGTAGACTCTGAAACCTGGCACTGAGCTGTAGTTCGCACCAAATTCAACTTGAAAGTGCTCTATAAATGGCTAGTGTGACCCTCGCTTGTACTTAGTAGTCGGATTTGTACTGCATGATCCTTTAAGCTGAAAAGTACTTTTCCTTGCTTTTCTGCTTCTTTGTGTGGAGCTAGCTTGCCCATTTTATACTTTTTCAGGGAAGCAGAATGAAGGTTTTGGAAGGAATCATAGCTTTCTTCAATGAGCTGGATATGCAGCATAGTGAGGAGCAGAGCGGCGATGAGTGAGTATTGTAGACCGAAACGAAACCGTTTTATAAAGATGTCTCCTCATTGATATTTTAGTGATTCAGTATCATCTAATCTTTTGGATCTACTTTTACCTCAGTATAGACCTTTCCTGGTCCTCTGCTAGCTGCTCAGTAATGAAGTAAGAAGGAGAAACTTCCAAGCATAGAGCCACCTTCTCAGCTTTTCCACTGTTCTGTTCTCAGGAAACTAGCGGTAGTTTCTGTAAGCTGCAGATTTAAAATGTCTGCCCTGCACCAGAAACTACAGTGATGAACCTGTCAGGCAGGGTCCCAGCTCTCCTGAGTTTAAATTTCAGTGAGAACCGAAAATCGATCAGCAGCAACAAAATACTAAGGCGGAAGTGGCTGTGCAGATAGTTCAAATGGGCGACGCGTGGTGACTGCAGTGCACTTCAGCTGGGTGGCCAGAGAGCACCCTGCTGGCAAGGTGCTCTTCTAATTGCCCCTGAAGGATAAGAGCCTCAACATGTAGATCTCGGAAAAGAAGGTTCTCGGGCTGTGGAGCAGTTAGCCCACAGGCGGGTCAGCGCACAGCACCAAGCACGACCAGTCCCAGTGCACGAAGCTGCTTTTAAGAGCAGCTCCTTGGAGGTGCCACTGCTACGCCAGGGCTATGCTGGGCGCGCTGCGACCTCGCCACAGCCGCCTTTGCCTCTTCCGCAAATGCAGAAGCCGAGGCAGAGAGAGAAGAAATTCCCTTAGGTTCTGAAGTGGTGGGGTGGGTTTGAGGCCGAGCAGCGTGGCTGCGAGCTCATCCTGCTGGCCCTGGTGCAGCCAATGGCTGCTCGTCCACAGCACAGGCTTGCCCCGGTGCCACGTCCGCCCCAGGAGGCTGGGCCTTCGAGTCAAGAAGCCTGGCAGGAGAGCAGGTTGGGGTGGGTGAGTCCTGTTGAGTTTGGCGTGTGTGGCAGCACCATGCGGAGGTGTGGCACAGGAGACGGGCTACAGGCGCGGTCAGGGCTAGAGGCAGACCTGGAGGACCGAGCCCATAGGACGGAGGGGTCACTTAGAGATGTTGTGGGCGCCCGAGACTGAATTCAGGAGCATTCCATTACTTAAAGGAGCCATGAGCCAGCAAAACAAATTGAGAAGAGGCCAGTGGCAGGGCCCCAGAAGCTAAGAGAAGAGATTGCTTCAAGAAAAAAGTGGTCAGCTGAGGCCCTCCCTGGTGGCGCAGCGGGTTAAAGCACAGCACTGAGACGCTAAAGCCGCTTCCGCATGAGTTCGATCCCCGCCTGCCCCGGAGGTGACCCCAGGGCGCGGCAGACCTCTCCTGACCCGCCCGCTGCTCCCCTCAGCAGTGTACTTCGTCGATCTGCCTGTTCTACTCCCCACTCTGTCTCTGGTGAAGCCTCTCACCCTCCGCATCTCTGGCCTGTACCCCAGTTCTGTATGAATAAATATATCTTTAAAAAAAAAAAAAAGTGGTCAGCTGTGTCAAATTTGCTGAGCCATTAATTAAGATAGGACTTGATGACTGGTTTTGGCACCATGGAGGTCATTTTGTAACGTTGGCAAGAATGTCAGATGGCTTTGGCGGGTGGGAAGGGTGCGGAAGCCTAGTTGGATTGGATTGGGATGGGTAAGGAAGTAGAAATAATGACCCTAGACAGTTCTTTCAGGAGGTTTTCTTGCAGAACGGAACAGTTGGGGGGGAGGAGAGTTTGTATTTGCGGCTGGCCTCTGGTGATGATGTGAGTTTGGGTTGGGTGAATGGGCCTGTTCATCTGGTCTCTCGCACCAGCCACAGCTCATTCTGGTCTTTTGAATCTTCCAGGCTGTTGGACCTGGTTACCGTGCCTTCAGGCGAACTGCGCCACGTGGAAGGCACTGTTATTCTCCACACTGTGTTTGCCATCAAGCTGGACTGCGAACTAGGAAGAGAGCTCCTGAAACACTTGAAGGTAGCACGAGACCCGGGACCTCTGTGACTCGGGGACACTTGAGCCAGGCCTCTGTGCCGTTCAGGGCCTGTCGACGGGAGGCCAGCAGGAGTAGCGCGGCGTGACCTGCGATGGAGGGGCGTGTCTGTGCTCCGGGAACATAGGGGCGATGTCACCACACTCTGATAGCGTACCTGAAGTGTTCTGGGGTTTTTGTCTACTTGTTTTCTTTAAAGTGTGTTTAGCAGGAAACTCAAACTCTGATCTTAGCTCCATTTTATGTGACCTTCAGCCTCCACCGCTGTTTCCCATTCATGCATTGGGGATATTGGATGTTACTAGTAGTGGATGGCGTTTCGTGATGCTAGGTCATTCGTCTGATATTTGTGAAGTAGTAAGATAAAAATCAGATGTGCTATGAACTCTTAAAATTACAGCTAAAGGGTCTTTTTTCCATCCAGCTTTTTATTTTGAAAAGTTTAGCCCACAGAAATGTTGGACACCTGGCATGATGAACCCCGGCGTGCCCCACGTTCACCAGGTAGACGCCTGGCCTCGTTTACCTTGTCTTGCTTCCTCACATCTTTCGCCAGCCACTACTAAAAATAGCCAGTATCCCCAGTGCATGAGTGGGTGGCAGAGGTTGAGGCAACCTCTTTCTTCCATTTGAAAGTGAGTTGCAGATGTCATGGCTCTCACGAAGGCCGAACGCTTCCGCGGGGTGTTGGAGCGTCCAGCCAGTGTCTTGTGTGCGTGAGTGGTGAGAGGATTCACCAGAGACAGAGTAGTGGGCAGAACAGGGGATCCACTGAGGGGAGCAGCAGGCAAGAGGTCTGCTGCGCCATGTGGGTCACCTCCAGGGCTGGGGATCGAACGCGTCCTGAAGCAGCTGCGGCCGGCTTCAAAGACCTGTACTTTAATCCGTAGTGCCACCAGGGAGGGCCCTAAACTTAGGTTTAAATTGTTAAGAAACTGCCAGAATTTCTCAAAGTGGCAGTATCATCTTAAATCCCACCAGCACTGGGTGGGGTTCTCATTTCTCCTTTCTGACCAATATTTACTAGTGCCTTCTGTTTGTTTCTGCTTCTACCCACCCTAGTGTTAGCTTCATGACTTGTGCTCTTTAATGCCTGGTGGTAACCAGGTGTCTTTTCACTCGCTTACTAGCTGTCCTAAAACCTTAGATGAAATGGCTGTTCCGATTTTTTGCCATTTTCTGTTTGTGTATCTTACCGACTTGTCAGACTCTTCGTGAATTCTGGGGGCAAGTCCTCTATCAGTTAGGTACTTTTAGCAAGTACTTTTCTAGTCTGGCCTGTCTTCGCTTTCGTGCTGGTGTCTTTTGAAACACAGAAGTTCTAAATTTTAGTGAGGTCCAGTTTATCCATTTTTTTCTTACAGAAGTTGTTTTTAATAGCATAGCTGTGAAATCATTGCCTAAACCAAGATCTTAAGGAATTTCTGCGTTTTTTAAGGTTTTATAGTTTTAGCCCTTACGCTTAGGTGTCCCTGGCCCGTGTAAAGACCTGCTGTGGTATACTTTGATGCTGTAACCACTTCTTTCTGGTTTATCTGTTCCAGGCCGAACAGCAAGGAGACCCCAGCAACAATATGTGCCCCTTCAGCATTGCCCTCCTGCTCTCTGTGACGAGAATACAAAGATTTGCAGAACAGGTACTTATTAGTGGCCTCTGATGAGTCCTGTGGTGCCCTGGAAGCCAGGCTCACCGTGGCTGCTTCCCAGTCGCCCGCTCCCAGCACCTGCTGCCGGCAGCAAGTCCCCGGCCCGGCAGGCCCGCACCGGCTGTGGAGACCCCCCAGTCCATGCCAGGCCTCCATTTCTGACTGCTAAACCAAGTGTGGGGTGGGAGGAGAGTGGGGAAACCCCACAGGCGGGTAGCACGAAGAGAAATTTAGCAAGATGATCACTTGCTAAATTACTGTGTTGTAGCTTCCCAAGAAATTGTTCCTGATGGCGTTGTAATTAACAGAATGGGTAAGTGACCAGGATGGACATACAAAGTTGTTTACTCCTATCACTCAGGTACTTCCTGGTTGTGAGTGATACTGCCATTGATCTTTGGTCCTTCTTCCTCTTAAGGAAGGCCCGCCTGTCGCAGGGCCACCGGCGAGCAGCCTCCTGCGGGCCTTCGGGAGTCGCCGCGGGGGGAGTCCAGGCCAGGCTCTGCGATGCCGGCTGCCTTTCCACTGCATTTTCCTGTTTCTCCTTTATATTAGGTGTTTGACCTTTTAAAGACTTCAGTTATAAAGAGCTTTAAGGATCTGCAGCTTCTCCAAGGATCAAAATTCCTACAGAATCTAGTCCCTCGTAGAGCGTGTGTTTCAGCCATGATCTTGGACGTGGTAAAGAGTAGGTGAGTTGGTGACCGTCCCCAGGAGCTCCCTGGCTGTTCAGTGTTAGGCAACGCGATGTGCGGTGTGGGCCCATATTTGTGACCGTCGGGAACCTGATGACTGTAACTATGGGCTTCACCTGTCGAGGTTCAGTCCCTTAAAGGTGGTCGGCTGACTTTTTCTGTCTGGAAAAATCATTAAATCCTAAGACCTGACTTCCCAGCCAAGAGTACAAAACATTACTCCTTTCATGATATTGCAGCTTGTTATTGGATTGAATCTTCATTGACATTTTGAGGATAAATGTTTTTTCAAAATTGTTGAAATTTGGGGCTGATGGTTGTAATTAGCAGTTTTACACAGTTGACTAGGAGTTTTAGGCAAACCCATTTAAAGTCGAGTCGAAAAGCCTAGTGTTCCTTTCATTTCAGGGTCCGTTGGCGGGTAGCGGTCCTTGAGCGCAGGGCCAGCGCTCAGTGGGAGGGAGCTGGCGGCTCAGCCGCCCCGGGAGAGTGCTGGCTGTGCCACTCGCTCTGGGCTCTGGCCGAGTCACTTTCTGTGCTTATTCTGGGCCCCGTGAGCGCATGTTGGTGGTGTTTCTGTACTGCAGCGCACGTTTGCCTGTGCACGTCACCAGTGAGTGGGTAACGGGTAGGGCTCATCACGGCATTTCTAGCATGGCTTGATATCTTGAACAGCCTTCTGGTCTACCAAATCATACTAGAAATAAAAGGTCTCGTGAGGAAAGTTCAGGCAACAGACTTAGAGCGTAGTCAACTTTGCAATCAGAACAGGGAGATATGTTACGGCCACCGTAACGCAGAGCTACCACAGCGTAGCCCTCGCCTCCTGGGGCAGCTGGGGCAACCGGAAGGGGCCACGGGCTATTGAGCCGGATAGTGGGGCTGCAGCAGAGTGCGCGGATGTGGGGTAGACACGCAGAGGCACGTCTAAGACGCCAGCGTGACGTGACCTGGAGATGGGGGGGCGCAGCAGCAGCCCTGTGAGGGACTTGGGGTGGGAAGAAAGGAGCAAGTGCTCAGTCTGTGCCTGTGGTCTGGCCAGCATCAAACACCGTCAGTTTACCGAGAACGTCACAGCAGTGCCCACGCTAGCGCTTGCCCTCTGGCAGACGTCTGAGCTGCGGCGCGGGGGAGGCATGGGCCTGATGCATGCCCGGCTCGAGGCAGAGACAAGTTCCTGGACGCATGTCGCTCCACCAGCTGGTGATGTTACACAGTCACCTCACGGTTCCTCTGCTACAGAGCTGTCTGCAGTGTTAGCGCATACTTTCAAAATCAGATCATTCATCAGTCATACTCTCAGTTACTACAGGATGTAAATACAAATACACATCTGCATGTAAGTAGTCATGCTGTCGGTATGTGCCGAGTGCATGTCCATGTCAGCCCGGGGCTCGGCTGTGTGAATGAAAGTAGAACTAACGGGGTTCCAGCATAGGCTCAGTCTAGGCAGGGAGGCAGATTTGCAAACACGTACATGTGGAAGCAGCATCAGTGGGCGTCAGCCGTGGGCCTAGCAGGGAAGTCTCCACTGGTCAGTGTATCGTGACAGCCAGTTCCTTCTGGGTGCAGTTTTAATGTGAACAGTTTCTGGGTCTTCAAGGCGTCCGGGCATCACTGGCATTTGCTTGCCCGCCGTTTCTGTTAGTGCACCTCCAGGGACTTAGAATTCTGCCAGGTAAGAGTGCTGAGGGAAAAAAGTTGCGAGGCTCGGCTGTCCAGGTCAAGTTTGGGCGATGTGTAACTTAGCAGCACATCCAAGGTGAGGCGCCCACTGGGCGCTCTCTAACTAAGCTTCGTCTTCTTGCAGTGTTCATAGTTGGGACCATGTCACTCAGGGCCTCGTGGAACTGGGCTTCATGTTAATGGATTCCTATGGACCAAAGAAAATTTTTGATGGAAAAACTTTTGAAACCAGTTCAGGTCTTTCTAGAACGCCAAACCAGCAAGCGTGTAAGCTGGGATCTGATATCCTGTTGGAGACTTTTAAGGTGAGACTAAACCATTCCAATTCTATTAAGTTATCCTAAGAATAGGACGTGACATTTGCCTGGGAGTTTGGGTGACAGGGAAGTCTGGGTCTGTAGCAGTTTCTGGGAACAAATGTTGGCATGGTATTGAAATATTACAGACACACTTTGATGAGTTATTTACTTTCTTTCCTTTATTTTATGTAAGCTTTCCATACTAGTTTCACTTGTATTTGGCAATTTATTAGACGTTTGAATAAATTTAGTTTTCTCATGATTTTCTCTTCAGCAGTAAATCATTCCTGGGTTTTTCTTTTTGAATTCTATCCCTCTACACACAAAAAAATTATCTTCAGGGGGCCTCCCTGGTGGCACAAGGGTTCAGTCGCATGGCTATCAAGCTGTTGCCAGTCACTGTACCATGATTTCCATCCCCACCAGGGAGGGACCCCAGAGCGCAGCAGACCCTTCCTGTCTCCCCGCTGCCCCCTCAGCAGTAGCTTTCAGTGGATCCACCTGTTCTGTCCCCACCTTCTCTGGTGACACCTTCCCCTGCACCTTTGGCCTGCACCCCTGCTCTGATGTGCATAAATAAAGTAAAACTTAAAAAAAAAAGTTACCTGAGGCTAAACTCTGACTTGCTAGTGACTCCTTTAAGTCAGCCTCTCGACCTTCTGCTGCGGCTTACAGGTGCTGCGGCTTACAGGTGCATCCCAGAGGCCTCAGGGCCGGGTCCCGTGGGCTGTGCTGCCCCACGCTGGGAAGCGGCCACTGTGCAGTAGTCCGTGCAGTTGTGCCACGGGATGTCAGTGCCGCTTCTTAGTCGTAAACTGACTTAAATGTTCTTAGAATAAGAGGTGCTAGTGGGTCTGTTTTTAAATATTTTTAAAATTTAGGTAGTTCTGCTTGGTTTCACGTAGGTGTTGGCTTTGCTAGGACATCTCTAGAGCGGATAATTTGCCACTCATTTTAACAGATAGTCTCCTGGTAATCAAAATAAGGCAAGTTTAGAAAGTTCATGCAGGTCTTTTTTGTAGGCAGCTGCTGTGCTCTAAGCGCTGTGAAGGGGTCGATGAGGGGTTCAGGCTTCCAGAAATTTTCATGGACTTTTATGTGTACTGTTGAAAAGGTGGGTGTGGGCGTGGTGGCCACCAGGCAGAGCTGCCCTGCAGCACTGGGCTTGGCGGAGTGGAGCGTGTGCAGCGGCCTTCGCAGCTGGCTGCCGCTGTGGGCGTCTGCTCCGGACAAGGGCGGGAAGTGACTGCAATGACTCCCCTTCCCTGCGTCTTGGAAATAAACAGTTGAGTTTTACCCGAATCCAAATGGCTCATGCAGTTGCAAGCTGAAGGTGACCAAAGGTTACCTTGATTTTCTTGTTTTCTTTTAGATCCATGAGATGATCAGACAAGAAATTCTGGAGCAAGTCCTCAACAGGGTTGTTACCAGGACTTCCTCTCCCATCAGCCACTTCCTAGGTACTGAACTCAGTAGATCAAACCCTCAGGGAAGTTTTTATTTAAATACCGTGTTTTGGTTCTAGACAGATTTTTAACAACGGTAATTTAATCTTACATGTTTGATTCTGATCCCAGTAAAACACGTCTGCTTATATTCTCCATGGTTGTCACAAAACAAAGAAGCATTTCACTGGCTAATGAAACTTGTCTCTAGAATCAGCATTCCCTTTTCTGTGTCAATACCTTCCATTGTCTTCACTGGCTAATGAAACTTGTCTCTGGAATCAGCATTCCCTTTTCTGTGTCAATACCTTCCATTGTCTTAACCTTGGGGTTTGGGTTCAGATGCATCTCTAGTGACCCCCGAACTGCTTTCACACTCGCCTCCTCGCCCCTAAGTCAGGTCGCCCTTCTATAGTCGCCGTCACTGTTGACAGTGCCCCTGAAGAACTCTTAGGTGTGTTCCGTGATGCCTCAGTAGTTTGTTTCTCCTGCCTCCGGTCTGGTCTGATTTCTGTCACTATAGAACAATTGATAGAGATGGAGTTTTGTGTACTTTTTAATCTGACTTTCAGCATAGCAGCTGATCCGTTGTTGATGAATGTTTTTGTATATTGCAAAATGTGCTTTGTGTTTTCTGAAAGGTTTTTTTCGCTTAGCATAGAATTCTACATTGAGATTTTTCTTCAGTATAGATGTTACTTCACTGTCCGGGGCTTTCACTGTTTTCAGCAAAAAGTCTGCTTGCTTATTTTTCCCTTTCTGTATCATTTCTTTGGCTGTCATTAAGATTTGTTTCGTCTCCAGGCCTCCCTGGTGACATAGGGGTTAAAGTCTCAAGCTGTCCATAGCCACTGCAGCCTGGGTTCGATCCCCAGACAGGGGTTGGCCCACAGGGTGCAGGAGACCCCTCCTGTCTCCCTGCTGCTCCCCTCAGCAGTGGGTTTCCGTGAATCTGTCCACTCAGCTCTCCACCCTGACTCTGGTGATCCTTTTCACACCCCACACCTCTGGCCTGTCCCCCTGTTCTTCTATGCAAAATAAAAGTTGTGCCTATCCCTTGCTAGGCAATAAACCATGTGTGAGATTGTTAGGTGTTTATATTCTGTATTCACCTCTTTCATTCTTTTTAAAAAGGGTTCTTGTTTCTTGGTTTCCAACTAAAAAGGTAGAAGGGCCGTGTCTTGTGCCTGTGGTGTGTGTTTCTTACAGTCCATATCACATTTGCACACTGTGGAAGTCCATTAGCACTTGAGCCTCGACACGTGAGGACTGTGCCACTTGTCTGGGCAGCGTAGTGCGCTTCTTCCCTGCTTCTGGCTTAACTGCTGCAGTCACGGCTGCACAGACAAGTAGCAGGTGTCCTGGCCACACTCACTCCAGGGGCCGTAGTATCTGCGGAAACTTTTGCTGCGGAATAGTTGGCTTATTTGAGAGGGGAGACAAGAACAGTTATGTCATTTTGTTTAAAAAAAGTATTATTTATGCATTCAAATAGTGGGGTACAGGCCAGAGGTGCAGGGGTGTGAGAGGGTCATCAGAGACAGTGGGGAGCAAGACCGGCAGATCCACTGAAACCCACTGCTGAGGGAGCAGCGGGGAGACAGGCGGGGTCTGCTGTGCCCTGGGGTCCCTCCCTGGCGGGGGTGGACTCAGGCCACAAAGGCTGTGGACAGCATCATAGTGCCTCACTCCTTATGCCACCAGGGAGGGCCCGGCTATGTCATTTCTTTCCCCATATTTATTTTCCTTTTATTTGAAACACTTTTAGTTATTAGACTGACTAGAAATTTCTGTTTTTCAGACCTGCTCTCAAACATCACCATGTATGCGCCCTTAGTTCTTCAGAGTTGTTCTTCTAAAGTCACAGAAGCTTTTGATTATTTGTGCTTTCTGCCCCTTCCAACTGTGCACGGGCTGCTGAGGGCAGTGCAGGTAATTTTCTGACACCAGGCGCTTTCCACACTGAGGCTGTGCTGGCAGCTGCAGCCTGTGTCCGGGAAGCCCCGTCTCCCTCCATTCAGAGCCGCAGAACCTTGTTTGGAAAGGGCTGGGCACTGAGCTCGGCTCTTTTGCAAGTTTGCCTCTCCTCCTAGAGTTGTTCTCCTTTGACTTATTTTCATTAGTGAAGAAATCGGAACTCCCATAGAAAATTATTCAACATAGATGTAAAGTCATTCTCAACTAATTTCAGATTATGCTGCTGTCATTAGTTAAGTGTAATAAACATTGAAACATATATATAAAACGAAATCAAAGTTCTTGCAGAAGCCAGGTGGTAATGGCACTGGATAGACATGAGCTAAGGCTAATGATTTGTTCTGTTTTCCCTACTGATTCTTCCTGTTAGCCCCTCCTCAAAGTCAGCATCTCTGTGAGGGACTCCCTGATACTCGTCCTGCGGAAAGCCATGTTTGCCAGGTAAGTGGCACCCGTGATGATTTCGGCTGATGCTGTCCAGTGTTTTAAGTCCTCTGCCAGCTCCTAGTGCCACGGCTGTCCACAGTGGTCCGCAGAGGCCTGACCAGAGGACGAGGTCCATGCCCAGTGTCCCTGTGCTTGACTTCATGCGTCCTCAAGCGGCCTTCGGAAGTGAGTGACTGCAGTCCCCTGCAGGTCACGAGGCAGGCCTAGAGCCTGAAGTGGTGTGGCTATCGGGGCCCAGCTGTAGTGGCGGTGGAGCGGATCTGAGTGTGGTGTCTTAAGGAGCCTGCTGTGTGAAGAGCAGCCTTTGAGATCAAGTTCCATTGCCAGGTCCTTTGAAATCAGGACTTGCAACAGTTTTGAAGAAGAAATCACCTTAATTATATTGGACATCAAAATTCTGCTCCGGTGGTTTGGATAAAAGAAATTTTCAGGGTTTTGTGGAGGTTTTTTTGGCTCAGCCAGTACTTCTGAAGCTCTCTTCCGTTATTTCTTAGATAGAAGGAGATGGACATATCTATCTTGTAAGAAAATACCATGGGACAAATGGCATGTGGAAAGTGTTGTTAGGCTAAGATGCTGACTGGTATCCTTGGGCCGCAGTTAGGCGCTCGCGGCTGTGCGAGGAGCCAGTGGCCATGTGCGGAGCAGCCAGCACTAGTAAGCTCTGTTCGTCTCTTCCCGGAGCATGTCTGCTGGGCCAGGTTGTCTGATGCCCTTTAGAAGGAGAGTTGTCACTGCGCCCCAGTCTTCCTCAGCCCGTCACGTTGGCACCAGCAGCCCGTAGTGCTGCCTCTTAGTGCCATTCTCACTCCCACATTCACCTGTCAGCAGGCTGAAGAAAGCAGTGTCGTGAGTCACTCAGATTACGACTCAGCTGAATGTCTGCTGCTGACCCCTGTGGCGCTGACGCCTTGCTTTGCATGCGTGACCTCCTTGCTTTGCGCTGGGCCTCACCGTTTGTCCGCCGCCCCTCTGGGCCGACTGCGCTTGGCCGACCCGGAGCCTGTGCCTGAGGCTGGTCCTGTTTGGTAACTTCTTGTTGGTCTGTTCCTGCACTAGCCAGCTCGATGCCAGGAGGTCTGCGGTGGCTGGGTTTCTGCTGCTCCTGAAGAACTTCAGAGTCCTCGGCAGCTTGTCGTCCTCCCAGTGCAGTCAGTCCGTCGGGCTCAGCCAGGTGAGTGGCTCACTCCAGGTGCGGTGCGCAGCTGCAGGCGGCGCGACACGGTGCCGCTGTGGCGGGTGTGCCGCCTGCTAGCCTGTGCCGCTGCCCGGGGGCTGTTGGGCTGAGCCCTGGACCCCAGCAGGGCCCCGAGCTATGTTGTGGAGGACAGGGAAGTGAAACGCCTCGCTAGCCTTCTATTTTGTTACTGGCTGAGCTATACTTTGGCGATACTGGGTTAAGTCAGATATTAAGCTGTCACCGGTTTCTTTTTCCTTTTCTGAACTTGCCTTTTAGCGAGCTTTCAATCGCATGTGTGGCTTGTCTCGGGCTAAAGGCTGTCCGTGCGTTGTCGGTCACTTCACAGCTCCTGAGCAAGAAACAGACTGCTGCCCCCTTTTTAATATTTCGTTTATTTGCTCATGAGCATCTATGAAGCTCCACGGTTTGAGAACGCGAGACTTCTTATGGGACGTGCTTACCTTTCAGGCAGTCGTGGCTTCAGGGCCATTAACATGTGCCGGGGAGTGCCTCTGGCTGGGCACTCCCACTGGGGAGTGAGGCGTTTACACAGCAGTTTCTGTGGGAATCCTTACTTTACTGCTCTGGCAGCTATAAAACCTGTGTATAAACTATGGCATAGGCTAAATATTAGAAACACTGGATGTCAATTATGTATTATTATTGCCCCATTTAAGAGTGAGGGAACAGGTTGACTAACTCGCCCAAGGCAATAGGTCCAGCAGCGGGTAGGACTGGGGTCTGACTCAGTCGTTGCCGACAGCCTCGCTAAGTGCCTCGGTCATCACAGCAGGCGAGCAGTTCTTGCATTTCCTAATTTAAGGTGTAAATCGAATAAGGGGGTATTTACGCTTTGTCAGTGTCCATTTCTAGACTAAAATTACCTCTAAACCTTAGAATTTTGTGGCAGCAGAAAGGACTTGATTCTTTCAGCTATCGAAGGTGTGGAAGGCAGTGTTTTTGGCCTTCTAAGTAAAGCCCAGTGGATGGCGACCCAGTTCGAACTCTCTTTTCAGGTCCACGTGGACGTCCACAGCAGATACAGTTCTGTTGCCAATGAGACGTTTTGCCTTGAGATCATGGACAGTCTGAGAAGATGCTTGGGCCAGCAGGCCAGCGTCCGACTCCTGCTTTATGAGGTAAGGCGCTGAGCGAAGGGCGCAGCCTGCCGGCGGCCTTTTCTGCCGGGAGTCGGCCCCTGCCTGCGGAGGTGCAGTAAAAGTGCTCGAGTCTGGCAGTTAGGACCAGCAGTGAGGGAGGGGGCAGGCGCAGCTGGCGCAGCTCTCCTGCCTGCCTGCGGTGAGGCAGGCGTCTTTCTTTCTCCTGTCCTTTGAAAAGTAGGAAAAATCTGCTGAAGGTAAGAAATACGGATTAGTTGAAACATTTAAAATCTTGATCTGATTTTGCAGTTGTAAATATTGTTAGTTTTCCATTCTTTCACTTTAAAGCCAAGTACTTTTTCTATAGCTTTTGAGTATGAGTGCCACTTGGAAGCCCATTTCTCAGACAAAACGTGACCGTAACTTACTGCCTATAATTTCAATTTTTTGTTTACCTAAAGTGGGATTAAAAAGTTTAAGATACTTTTGATAGAGTTTTAATATAAATCCTTACAGTGTATGGTGTTTTTAAAGGTTTATATAATGTATGTGCTCAAGAACTGGGGTTTGGCCAGGCTTGTGGTGGGTGAAGGGATCACCAGAGCCAGAGTGGGGAGCAGAACAGGCAGATCTATTGAAATCCACTGCTGGGGGGGGGGGGGGGGAGGGGTTCTGCTTCTGCTGCTGCACCCTGGGTCTCACTTCCTGGCTGGGGATGGGACTCATGTTGTGGTGGCTACAGACAGCTTCCAGAGCTGCACTCTAGCCCCTTGCGCCAGTGTCAGTGTCGGAGACCAGCTCCAACTTTTGAGGTGTCTGGAGGCAACACAGGCAGGACCCTAAGATGGGAAGGCATCAGCGTGCGGAGATTCCAAGAGGGGGAGAGGAGTGGGAGTGAGGAAGACACGGGAGTCCGAGTTGCGGGCAAATCTTCCTGCTCTGCCTTCAGCAGAGGTTTATTTTATCCATTTCAAGCAGGCAGGGGGATGGCATTAGCATACAAAAGGGGCTGAGATCACAATCACCTTTTTTCTAAGAATGGTCTGGGGTCCTTTGACCTTTACTTGAAGATTATAACATTCTAAAATCAAGGTTAAACAACAGGTACATAGGTGCTCAAAGTTTAAGACTAATATTACTATAGTGAAGATAGATAAGAATAAAGTCCTTTAAACCTTATCTATTATTTGATGGTTTTTCTACCTGAGACATCTTGGGAGGCAGGAGGAGGAGGAAATTTCTTGCTAATCAAGTTTCGGAAAAGTTCTTTGAAGAAACTTGCTAAAAGGTTTTAAGTGAGTTTCCTTGAGGTCCAGACAGTAGAAAGCTTAATTTGCTCTAAATAGGAGACATAGGTGAATTTCCTTATCTAGAGACTAGATAGTAGAATCCTGAAAGAATAGCCAGAAAGACTTTTGTGGATTGCTTTGAAGTGTAGCAGGTAAAAAACTTGACTAGCTCTAAAACAGGCAACCTGGATGAATTTCCACATCTAAGGACCAGATAGTAGGAGTTTGAGTAATTCTTTAGAAGCTGAATAGGAGGCTAGGTGAGATAGTAGAATGATAAGATTTGGGTTTTCCTCCATCCAGCAGTGAGAGACTTTGCAGAAACAGCCCTTTTGCTTTTATTGATCAGCCAGTTGTTAAGTCACTTTTGACTTCAGAGGAATTTCTCACCCTGGTGCAGTGCTTGCTTGTCAGGGCAGGCAGGCCTTATGCTGCTGAGGTAATCCAATTGTAAGCTGAAAGTTTCTCAGAATATTTTGATATTACGATTATACAAAAAAAGGAGGTCATAACATAAGTTAGCATGGAAAGTCTGATTTTTCAAAGCTTTTCCCGAGCTACCTGGAATCTGTCAGACGATAGCCGTCGCATAGCTTGTGTCACGCCAGGAGCGCTGCCTCCACACAAGGTGACTTCGCTGTAGGAAAATCTCTCCTGCTATAACAGGAAACCCGGCTCCTTCCTCGCTCCCCCTGGGCAGGAAATCGCAGGCAGTTTATTTCAAACATGGCAGGGAAGCCCTTTCCCCCAGTGTCTTACCCCAGTTCTCCAGAAGTTGGTTTAAATATTTTATTCTTTTTTTTTTTTTTTTCAAGATTTATTTGTGCATACAGAACTGGGGTACAGGCCAGAGGCTCAGGGGTGGCGAGAGGCTTCACCAGAGACAGAGCGGGGAGCAGAACAGGCAGATAGATGAAGCACACTGCTGAGGGGAGCAGCGGGCGGGTCAGGAGAGGCCTGCCATGCCATGAGGTCACCTCCGGGGTGGGGATTGAACTCATGCTACAGTGGGTTTAGCTTCTCAGTGTTGTGCTGTAACCCGCTGCACCACCAGGGAGGACCTCTCCCGGGATTTTACCCTGAGCAGTTTTTAACAAAGATTGGGACGTTTGGGATGGAAGAAGTAATAGTCATTCTCATGAAGGCAGCTAGGGCCAGGAGGCACTTCTGAGGCACTGGGAACACGACCATCAAGTCCTAAACAGGGAGGAAGCTGCCAGTGCCGATGAAAAGAAAAGAATGAGGGCTTGGATACCCTGCTGTGGACAGCCCAGTGCCCCAAAGCCAGCAGTGACCTTTGCTGCCAGTTTGAGAGCACAAACTTCATAATGCAGTTCTCACTATAATGCAGTGCTCAGTGATCAAGGTAACTGGAGCTTTCTAAATTGTTTCTTCTTCTAACAAATTCACTTTTTCAAGGAACTGAAAATAGATAGAGACAGTGGGTATTTTAAAATTAAGATGGTCCAAATCGGCCTCCCTGGGGATGTAGGGTTAAATTCTCAGTGCTATCAAGCTGTCTCTAGCCACTGTGACCTGAGGTCAGTCCCTGGCCAGCATAGCCCCCAGGGCGCAGCAGCCCCTTGCTGTCCCCCCCCCCCAGCAGTGTGTTTTCGTCAGTCCACCTGCCCTGCACCCCACTCTGTCCTTGGGGCGTCCGCTCACCCCCTGCACCTCTGGCCTGCACCTGTTTTTGTATACATAAATAAAGATAATCTTTAAAAAAGAAAGATTTCCAAATCACAGTTAACTTTGATAGAGCTTATTTGATCTCTGTTTAATTCTTAGGGGTTCTATGATGTCCTTCGAAGAAATTCTCAGCTGGCTAATTCAGTCATGCAAACCCTGCTCTCACAGGTAAAATATTATATAGATAATGAGAGATTAAAAGGTGATTAACATTTTCCAAACTTGGTGAAATGCAAAATAATTCCGATTAGTATGTTGTGAATGTGCTTGGGAGCGAATGGTTTGTCTTACTGCCTCGCCACTCCTCTTCCCGCCATGTTGCAGTCATCCCCCAGCTCACAGTCCACATCCAGAGGTGTCTGTAGCCCCTGTGCAAGGATATCTGTGGTCACCCTCTGGGCGCTCTGCCCCTGAAGAAAGCCCAGGACCACACTGGCCTTGCCAAGGAGGCTGCACGCGATGCTTTGCTGCCCCCGTGTGGTCAGATTTTCCCCTCACGGGCCAAGACAGCAGGCCATGGCGTGGGGGTGGGAGGGAAGGTGACCCACTCGGCTGGCTTGTAGTATGTTCACAGGAATTTGCCATCATCACTGCAATGGGAACACATTTCATCAACTCAGAAGAAACTGCACCCTTAACCTGCCGCCTCCCAATTTTCCCACCCCCCTTCTACCCCCCAGTTCTAAACGCCCGCACATCTACCTGCTGCCCCGCTTCCGTGTTGTGCTGTGTAAATGGCGTCTCACATAAGCGTGGCTCTTCTGTGCCTGACTTCTTTGCCTTGACCTGTTTCGAAGGCCCGTCCATACTGCAGCGTGTATCAGCACTTCACTCCTTTACCAGCTAACTATTTCAGCCACGGTATTTGAATCTTTTTTATATAGATCGAGATAATTCAAGATGCTGCTGTGTACTTGAGGGCTAACAAAAGTTAGCCTTAATGGGTAACACTTAGAGAAGGCCGAGTGTCCTATGAGTTTCTACATGGTGACCACATTTATTCCTCATGAAACCCCGTGAAATAAGAAACTGGCCATTTTAAAGGTGTACAGCTTAGACTGAAAATGTAGTGTTTGCTCTACCACGGTCGTCACAATAAGTGGCAGAGCGAGGAGGCGAGTGCAGAGGTCCCTCTCGCAGGCCCGGCAGCGCCCTGGGTGCTGAGCGCGCGTGGACAGCCGCCTGCAGAGGGTACGGGGCAGGGCAGCGCCCTTCACTTCACGAGTTAGCAAGGATGTTAACTCACTGGTTGGACGTTAACAGGGATGTAGGTGGCGGCACGTCACTAAAAAGCAGAGCGGTGTTAATAAATGTCAGGGACACTGACGTCCTCGTGCAGAAAGGTGAAGCCGAACCCTGACCTACAGCTGAACTCAGTGTGGCCCAGAGGCCTAATCACAAGAGCTAAGAAACTCATAAGTTGTAGAAGACGAAATAAGGGGCAGCTTCACCACGTTGGATTTGGCACTGATTTCTTGAGTGTGCCACTAGAAAGCATAGAGCAAGAAAAGAAGAAAGAGTTAAACTGGACTTACCATAATTACAGACCTTTGTGCATTCACAGAACACTATCGACAGGTTGGGAAAGCCAGCGTGGGATGGGAAACTACAAATCGCATCTCCAGTGGGGGATTAATGTTCAGGATATAGAAAGAGCCTGGTCAACAGGTGGGCAGAGGGCTTGAGCGATAGCCGTAGTGTTTCTCTTAAAGACACGTAAACGTCAGATAGACCTGCGCAGACTCAGTCACGAGGGAGATGCAGGTCAGGACATGTGAGACCGCGCACCACTCGCTGTTGGCCGCTGGCCAGCACAGCCAGCGCGGCCCCGTGTACGCTGCCGGAACACAGACGCGCTGCCGCTCGAGCCAGCAGAAACCGAAAACGGAAGCAGCGCCTGCCTGGCTGCGTCCTGTGCGGCCCTCTGACGGGAGCGATGCCCGTGGGGACGCGGCGGCCCCTGCGCCCTTGCTTTATCCTGTATTCCATTTCATTTCCTGTTCTCCGTCTGTGTACAGGTGCTTGTCGTGTGCTCTCTTAATTCCTTCCAGGACTTTAGCCTTCCTTCCTTTTGGTCTTTTCAATATTTGCTTTAAGAACTGTAATATGCATTTTAATAGGTTAAGATTTATAAGATTTACGTCCAGTAAAACGTAGGAACTTTGCACCCCACTGTGATTCCCTCTGCCTTTGTGCTGTTCCATAAACCTTATGTATATTTTAAATCCCAGCAAGTTTTCTTTTTTATTTTTAAGACTTATTTATTTGTGCATATAGAACTGGGGTAGAGGCCAGAGGTGCAGGGGCGGTGAGAGGATTCACCAGGGACAGAGAGGGGAGCCGGACAGGCTGACTGAGAAGTCCACTTTTGAGGGGAGCAGCGGCGGGTCAGGGGAGGTCTGCCGCGCCCTGTGGGTCATCTGCCTGGCCGGGGCTCGACCTTGTGCAGTAGCTGTGGGTAGCTGCTTAGTGCTGTGCCACCAGGGAGGAGCCCCCAGCAAGTTTCTGTATAAAAAGTGGTAAATTTTGTTTGTTTTTTTTTTAAAGATTTTATTTGTGCATACAGGGCTGGGGTACAGGCCAGAGGCTCAGGGGCGGTGACAGGCTTCACCAGAGACAGAGTGGGGAGCAGAACAAGCCGACTGATGAAGTACACTGCTGAGGGGAGCAGCGGGTGGGTCAGGAGAGGTCTGCCACGCCATGTGGTCACCTCCGGGGCAGGCGGGGATCGAACCCATGCGGAAGTGGCTTTAGCTTCTTAGTGCTGTGCTTTAACCCGCTGCGCCACCAGGGCGGACTGGTAAATTTTGTTTTAAACAAGTGTCCATCTCTCACTGCGATGCAGAGGGGTAAAGCATACAGACAGACGCACACCCCTCCGTGCGTGCCGACGCCTGCCGTTGCCAGCACTCTCGTTTCTGTGGGCGCAGTTTGTCACCTGGATGGTTTCCTCCAGCCCTTCCCGGGGCACTTCGTGTGCACGCACAGGTCTCCATTTCCATCAGTCTGGGCGTATTTGTTGGCCTCCATTTATTTCGAAGATGATTTCACTGGATTTTGAATTCTTACGTTTTTTTTGTCAGTGCTTTGAATCTGCCATCCAGTGTCTTCTTGGTTTCTTTTGTTTCTCAAGGCAAGTAACTGTTTCTGCCTTTGGTCTTCGTTATTTCTGTCATATTTCTCTTGTTGATTTCCAGATGTTCTCCTTGTGCTCTGGTTTTCAGGAGGTTGACTGTGATGTGCTAGTGTGTGAACCTCATTTCTCCTAGTGAGCTGATTAAGCTTCTTTAATCTAAGGTGATGCTTTTCTCCAGCATACACAGTACTCACTCGTCACATCAAGTCGGCCTTAGGCAGGAAAGGTGCTGGCGTCCCAGCTCGAGGAGGCAAAGGCTTCCATGAGCCACACTGCTTCTTCCCTCCCTGCAGCTACGGCACTTCTATGAACCGGCGCCCGACGTGCTGCCGCCTCTCAGGTTGGAAGCCTGTGTGCTCGCCCAGGGAGATCAGATCTGTCTGCAGGAGCCCCTGGTGAGACCTCCCTCCTGTGGAGTAAAACGTAATCTGTGTTGATAAGGCTGAGCTCCGGGAGGAGATACTCTTCCCACTGAGGTGCTCTTTCTGGTATTCCTCATGAGTTTTTGCTCTTAAATCTCCCCTCGTTAGGGTTTTTTGTTTGTTTGTTTGTTTTTAGGATTTATTTATCTACGAATACAAGAAATGGGGTATAGGCCAGAGGTGCAGGGGATGAGAGGCTCCACCAGAGTGGGGAGCAGCCAGATCCACTGAAACCCACTGCTGAGGGGAGCAGCAGGGAGGAGGAGGGGTCTGCTGTGCCCTGGGGTCCCTTCCTGGCCAAGGAGGGACTCAGACTGAAGTGGCTGCCAGTAGCTTCGCAGGGTGTGACTTAACCCCTGCGCCACCAACAAGGTTCCTGTCTTTTTCTGGTTTCGTCAGCTGACTTGATTGACTTGATTTCTGCTGCCAGTGAGCAGCTTGGCTCAGCCCCGCGGACGAGGCCAGCTTGTGGCGGTGTGGCTTCACGGCTGAGCCCTGAGCTCTCAGGGAAACCTGCGGCCTTTTCCTTCTACAGGACCACCTGCTGTGCTGTGTGCAGCACTGCCTGGCCTGGTACAAGAGCAGGGTGATGCCCCTGCGGCACGAGGAGGAGGAGGAGGACGAGGGATTCTACCAGGACTTAGACGACATTCTGGAGTCGATCACTGCTCGAATGATCAAGAGTGAACTCGAGGACTTCGAACTGGTAATCCACTGCCTGGCAGCGTGATTGCCAGCCGGCAGTCAGGCTGCAGACTGCAGGTGTCAGTGGCGCGTTTGTTTTCATCTTGTGTCTCCTAGGACAAATCCGCAGACTTTTCTCAGAGTTCTGCTGCTGGCGTCAAAAATAGTATCTGTGCTTCTCTTGTGATGGGCATGTGTGAGGTCCTGATAGAATATAATTTCTCCATTAGTAATTTCAGGTGAGGTCTTGCTGTCATTCTCCTTCCAGTTTGATAAATTTGCCTTGTATCTGTGTGGATTTTGGTGCCGAGTGACGCTAACTGTCCAGACCAAGACTGCGACCCCATGGACATCCGAGGCGATGGCTTCTGCTGTGTGAAAGCGCATGCGGATCTTGTCCGGTGTGCAGGCCTCCGTTTATTCGGGGTTCTTGGCTGATTTTAGTAGATGTTGACAGCTGTTTGTATTGGTTTTTCATGTTCTGCACGGGCTGGTGTCAATAACCCAGGGAGATGGGTGTGACCTGGGTTGCCTTGTTCATTTGTAACATCTGCATGGGACGTCTGGCGAGGCAGTGCGAGCTCCTTGTTACTGTCTGCTGTGTGCGAGTCACTGCACTCTTCTGAGTTCTGTCCTCCTTGATCTCTTTCCTTGTACGCAGCAAGAGTAAATGTGAAGCGGTTTTGAATCTATTTATGTGTTACAAAAAAGTCTCCGACATCCTTAATGAGAAAACTGGTAAAGGCAAAATCAAAACTGCCAGCAAAACAAATGATAGTTTTTTGTCCCTGAAATTCGTGTCCGATCTTCTCACCGCTCTCTTCAGGTAGGTGCGACTAGAGTGCTGGGCACTGGTGGTGGTTTAGATGAGCAGTTCTGGGTCCACAGCAGGAGGCAATCCAGAGGCTTGTGGCTTTCTTGAGATAAAAGCCGGACAGTCATACAGAGACACTTTAAAGAGGCATCTTGAATTAATAAAGGGAAATTCAGCAGTGACAGGAAACTGAAAAGATAGGAGTGAATTTCTGCAAGGTGGTGTGAGAAAATCTCCCAAGTGGCGTGAGCACAGTAATAGTTAAAAAGGGGAGAAAAGTCTGGAATTAAAAAAACAAGCTAGACCTCAACAAACTAAGCCTGACCTTTATACCTTATCACAGGGAAGGGGTTGAGGAGGGAGAAGGAAGAGACTGGGGGAACCAGCAGGAGGCAGGGGCCACTGCGGACTGCCTGGAGCCCGCTTGCCGGTGGCCGTAGCAGGAGGTTAGCTCTCTCCTCTCTAGGGACAGCGTCCAAAGTCATGAAGAGAGCCTGTCCGTCCTGAGGTCCAGCGCTGAGTTCCTGCGCTACGTGGTGAGCGTGGCTCTGCAGAAGGTACAGCAGCTGACGGAGACAGGGCGAGTGAGCGGCCCCGACGGCCAGAACCCAGAGAAGGTCTTTCAGTACCTCTGTGGCATCACCCGGTAAGTCACGTGCAGCCTCAGCAACCTGTCCCACTGCTTGTGGAACCTCAGGAGAAGTGCGTTCTGCTGTGAGGTGGGTGTCAGTCACATGAACTGTCAGCAGAAGTGAAGAGGGGCGGGCACTACGTGGCGACTAAGCTGTTCTCTGGAAGACAGGACTGGAGACATTTATGCCCCTCACAGCTTCCAGCTGCTGGCAGCAGAAACTGATAGCCAGGAAGGAGCAATGCAGGTAGTCTGTGCGTTTTCAAGTACCGCAGATTAACTTGAAGATCAGAGGCATAAGTGTAAAACCTATAGAAGGAAACAAAGAAAAACTTTTGTGATCTTATTTCAATTGCTCTTTGAAAGACGCTTCTGAGGAAATTGGAAGACAAGCTGTGCTGTGTGCACAGTGCACGTCTGCTGGAGGACGAGGAGCCAGCGTGCACAAACCAGAGCTCGTTAGCAAGAGAACAGCCAGTGAGTGAGTGTGTAAAATACTTCAACAGACTGCCAGAGAAAATAGATGGACAGTGAGGAAACAAAAAGATGGTCCCTGTGCTCACTAGGTAAATGCCAGTTACAGTCACAGAGCAGCTCTGAACTCCCAGGAGTGCCGCCGGCGTGAGGCCCGGGCATACCGGCGCGCCGCCGTCCGTGTGCTGGGCCGGGGGGCCTGCAGGGTGGCGCAGCCGCTTTGGAAGAGTTTGGGTGGTGTCTGAAAGCTGAAGCGCACGCCACCAGCGGTTACCCCTACCCGAAAGAATGAAAGCAGAAGCCGTGTGAAGGTCTGCGGGCGGGACCTCCATCTGTAAGAGCAGGCTCTGGAGACCCTGAAAGTGGAGGGGCCGGTGGGTGAAAGCACAGGCGGGCACGTCCCTCGGGGAGCACAGCCCAGCAGTGAGTGGGCACGCCCTGGCGCGCAGCAGCGCTTCTGAGGCGAACCTCAAAGGCAGGTGCCAGGGCACCGAAGCCAGCCTCTCGTCAGGAGTAGAGCACGGCGACAGGGATGCGAGCAGTGGTTGCTTAGAAAACGGGGAGGAGGGGCCAAGACGCCAGGGAGCACAGACGTGGGGCAGTGGCGCTGCCCTAGGGGGGTGGTCGCGCGAGTGGGAGGTGGGCAGGCCGTGGCCTGCGCTGCCGGGAGTGCGCTGAACGTGTGCTTGCCCCGCCTCCCCAGGGTCTTGCTGTGGAGATACACTTCCGTCCCCACTGCCGTGGAGGAGTCCAGCAAGAAGGAGAAAGGGAAGAGCCTCTCGCTGCTGTGCCTGGAGGGTCTGCAGAGGGTCTTCAGTGCCGTGCAGCAGTTCTGTCAGCCCAAGACCCAGCACTTTCTCAGGGCTCTGGGTGGGCACTTCGATTTCGATAAATGGGCTCGATCTGGGTTTCTCTTAATGGACTTCTTCATTCTGTTTGGGAGCCTGCCAGGGGCCGCCTGAGCACTGTCCTAACGTTGCTGAGGAGTGACACCTAGTGGGCTCAGGGTTGGCGCATCCCGGGCCACGCTCAGTCTCAGACGGTGGCGGGAAAACGGAATGTGGCATTAAGCCGTCACAGAACGCTAGGGACATGGGGAAATCCGCCGCGAGGCTTTCTGGGCTTTGTAAAACTTTAGCTGTTATAAAGCAAGGCGTCAGTCCATTCCAAAGAAGATAGAGTTCTCTGCTCTCCTAGATGTCACAGAGGCAGAGGCAGAAGAGGCGGAGGTGGACGTCACACAGAGAGCTGCGTTCCAGATCCGCCAGTTTCAGGTGAGAAGCGTGGGAAGCCGTGGGCCGGCCCGGTCCGTGCCCAGGGACCATCAGCGGGCACAGCTGGTGACAGAACACAGTGAGCGACAGGATGGGAGCGTGGTCCCAGCACAGCTCATAGATGGGGTACAGCATGGGGGGGGTGAGTCGCACCGCGGCACCCCTGCCTCGGAGGCAGCCAGGAAGGCCCCGGGGGCAGCACGTGCGCTTCCGTGCCGTGTCCGTGGTGCGATTTGACTTGGACTAGCACACCGTCGGTGGGGACGTTTGACATGAACCCTAGGAGTTTTTAACCGATAGTTGTCACAGTAGGTCTTTTGTTACAGGGCTTCTTTACTGAATAGAAAGTTTTCAGTTCCCACTCTGCGGCTGGAGTGTTACTGGTGTGGGAAGTGCGGGGCACGAGAGGCGGAGACCTGCTCTGAGCTCAGGCCGCAGTGGGGAAGAGTGGCGGGCTCCCGGCGCTGTGACCGCTCTCCGAGCGCCTTGGCCGGGGTGCAGGAGAAGGACGCCTTCGTTTTCCAGGGTGCTCAGCTTGTGGTTGAAGGTGGGGGTGACACGAGTTCAGCCCTGGCTTATTTTCTGATTGTGCCGTCATGGAATTCTTGTAGCTTGAGATTCTGGCTGTCTGGCCTTAAAGAACATCTCTCTCCAATAGGACTGTGTCTGTTGACGGTTCTGTTTCCTCAGAGGTCCCTGTCGAACTTGCTTAGCGGCCAGGAAGAAGACTTTAACAGCAAAGAAGCCCTCCTGCTTGTCAGCGTTCTTTCCAGCCTGTCCAGGCTGCTGGAGCCTTCCTCGCCTCAGGTACAGTACGCCTGGGAGACACGGAGCGCGCGTGGGTGAAGTGTGTCGGCGTGGGGGGACATCGACGGTGCCCTGAACTGGCCCCGCGCCGCAGGCTGTGGCAGTTAGATGCGGCGCGGGGGCCAGTATGCTGCTTTTGCGGGCCCTGCCAGGGCACACAGTGTGCTCTTAGGGAAACGTCCTGTTCTCTTTGGTGCTATCCAGCTTTTTAATTTGTTATTCCTCACTTTCCTGTTTTCTAAGATGACGGTGTTATCACGAAGGCAGCTGGCACCAGGTTAGGGGAGTCCGTAAGCCGGCGTGCCTGCAGTGTCAGACTCGCTCGTGCAGACACGGGCTTGTTCATGTAGCGTGTTGCGCCCCCACGTGGGAGTGGACACGGCACAAAGAGGCCGCCTCCACGGCCATCCGTGTTTCCCGAGAGCGGAGAACGGGCACCCTGGAGAGCCCAGGGCCGCACAGGCGCCACAGGGCAGGGTGCGCTGCCAGCTCCGGGCATGAGCCCCAGCATCAGCGAGACCTGTCCTGGGGAAATTTGGGGAGCCTGTTTCACTGCTGGAAACAGACCTGGCTTTCTTGCAGTCAGGGTTCCAGCATCCCAAAGACGCCCCTTTTGCTCACCCCAGCCCAGGTCCAGACCGCTCCATCCTCTCCCCGCTGCTCTGCTCCAGGCGTGCAGAGCAGGAAGGCGCGGCAGCAGAGGGTTTGGCTGGGGGGGCCTGAGGGGAGTAGACGCATTCGGAAAGACGAGTAGATGGAAGAGAACATTTTAACTTCATTTCAGTGTCCCTCCCTGCCATTGGGCTGCCTGACTGTGGCTCCTCACCCGTGCACTTGAAGGGATTTATAAGATTCAAGCAGATGCACGCAAAAAGGTTAACAATGGGTTATTTACAGGAGAAAGGAACATGAATGACTGAGGGAAAGAGAGAGAAGGATAGATTGGTGAACCCCTATAGCACGCTGAGAGCTGACTTGGAACCCCAATAGCACGCTGAGGCCTGGCAGAAAGCCAAGAGGCCAAGAGCCCCCCCACCAAAGCCCACATGTCCCGTTTTATATCCAACCTGGCTGCTTAAATCCACCCTCAGGTCCCAGCATCCTCCCTTGGGCAGTGCAGTCTTTTGATTTTAAAATGTGTAATAAAGTCCCATGATTTTAAAACCAGGAATGACAAAAGATGGACAGTAAATGGTTAACTCCTACCCATGTCTCCCCCTGCCCCTTCTCCCCCACAAGTAAATCAGCTGTTTTCCTGCCCAAGCAGTGTCGGTACAGATCTTGCTCCCAGCCATCGCCTTCTTCGCACAGAAGCTGGCTCTCACCCCCTCGCACATTTCTCGCTGTTGGCAGAGCCTGTGTCAGTCCACAGAGCTCGCAGCGTGGCCCAGAGACCGCGTTCCGGCCAGGCCCCTGCCCATGTGCCTCAGCGTGCAGCGCCTTTGTGCCTGTTCTCCGCAACCTCCAGCCTCCAGCTACCGGTGCAGACTGGGGCTTGCCTGCTCTCCTTTGCTCCTCTCCACCCCCTTTCAGGCTTTCCCTGGTCTCTGGCTCCCAATTTCTGTCTGTGTGGTCGGCTTCTGGCTCTTCTCTCCATTAGCTTGGGGCCTTGCAGATGCCTGGCTGCGGAGATTCTGAGTGGGGCCTGAGAAGGGAGAAAGAGGAGCTTTAGCCCTAGACATGGTGGGACGTGCAGAGGAAGCTAGGGGAAGCCCTGACCCTGGCCCCAGGACCTGTGGGACATTGAGAATGAAGTTACACGCCACGTTATGAGAAAAGTTCCCAGAATTCTTATTTCTGATAACCGCTTAGAGCTAGGCACGTTTTGGCTGGTGGTCAGTCTGAGGGTTGGGCTCTCTGTGTGGTGCCGCTCATTCCGGCCTCCTGGTCCCCCTTCTGACATCTGAACCCCCCTAGTTTGTGCAGATGTTATCATGGACATCAAAGATCTTCAAGGAAAACAGCCGAGGTAAGTGGCTGCTGTGTTTCCTTTTGGGCTTTCTAACTCTGCATCAAAGAACGTTTAAGAAGAAACATTCTTTAATCATCATCCACTGGCTTGGTCAGGGAAAAGTTAAACAGGGCCAGAACATGGTGCAGGTGAGGGAGTGACCAGCTGGGCCCCGAGTCACTGTGGGTAGAGGTGTCTGCCGCTGTCGCCTGCCTGCAGAACGTTGGCTGCATCTGGCGACTGAGATGGAGCAGGCCTGTGGTCTTCAGCCCTGCGCCCGGCAGGGACAATGGACGAGTTCTCAAAGCAGCACTGTCTTACTAGGCAAGCCCAGCACCCAGGGGTGTTCTTGTAAGCGGAAGGGGAAACACAGGAAGCCACAGGGTGTGCGCTTCGCAGTGGTGAAGGGCCACATGTGCCAGGCGCTGTGCAGACTGAGCTGGTGCAGCCGGCCCTCGGGATGCTGCATCCTGGGGCGCACGTGAGGCACTGTGTGTGGTGCCCGTCCTCTTCTGTTTCTCTTTGTGGGTGCAGGTTGAGCAGGGAGAGTGACTGATAGTGGGGAGTCTCCCTTGGGCGCTAGAGAGGGGCGCAATGCGGGGGCCGCCTGGCGGCCTGTCTGCAGCAGGGTGCCAGGGCCATCTGCGTCCCCAAAAGGACTAAGCAGAACTCGGAACTCTCTTTCCTCCCCCTCCCAGAAGACGCCCCCTTTTGCAAGGGTCTGCTGGGCCTGCTCTTCAGCCTCCATGCTCAGTACAAGAGCCCCGTCGCCCTGCTGCGCGACCTGGCCCAGGACATCCACGGGCACCTGGGCGACATCGATGAGGTACTGCGCGGGGGCTGGTCCCGGCCGGCTGGGGTGGGGCAGCCCGCTGTGCTCACAGCTCCCGCCTCCTCCCCACCCAGGACATAGAGGTGGAGAAGACAGACCACTTTGCAATGGTGACTGTGAAAACAGCTGCCCCCGCCGTCTGCGTAAGTGTGGCTCCTCGGACACGAACGGGCTGTGGCACCCCCACGGTAGTTCTTGTGTAGAGTAAATTGTAGCAGCTCGTTTCCTCAGGCTCGGCACTGCCCACAGGTGGCCTCAGTCCTGGGTCACGCACCTGGCAGCTGTGTGCAGCGAGCCACGCCAGGCGTTCTTTTTTTCCACAGTTGCTTGTTCTGAGTCAGGCTGAGAAGGTCCTAGAAGAAGTGGACTGGCTAATCAGCAGGCTTAAGGGACAAGTCCTGTCAGGTAAAAGGAGTTCAGCATGGGGCTCCTGGGATGGTGGTCAGCCAGGTCTGCACGGAAGGGGCCCCCGGGTCAGCGTTCATCCTTGAGCTAGATTCAGACGTGCTGGAAGTAGAAAGTGGTGTGACTCGTAAACCGGCTGCTCTTTAGCCAGCGGCTGAGCCCAGCTGGTCTCTGCTGACCTCCCTCCCCTCGGCAGCATCGTCCTCTGCACCTACGGACCCACTCCTGGGGAAGGCCATCATCATGCAGCTGGGGACGCTGCTGACATTTTTCCACGAGCTGGTGCAGACCGCCTTGCCGTCGGGCAGCTGCGTGGACACCTTGTTAAAGGCCTTGTGCAAAATGTACACCACGCTGACTGCCCTCGTCAGATACGTGAGTGTCCCGAGGTCGTTGCCCTCCACCGCCCAGGGGCAGGGACGGGCAGGCGGGCCAGGCAGGCAGCAGCCCGCAGGATGCCCCACGCGTGTATCCCCTTTCCCAAGCCATGGCTGTTCTGGCTGGTCTGCGAGTGGCCGCGTCCCCACAGCCCGGGAGCCCCCTTTCCTGGCGTGGGCGCCCACGTGCAGCTTGAGCGTCTGTCTTTGAAGCCTTCTGAGACTGACCCACGCTGGAGCTGTGGGCTGTGGTCTTGTTCCAGATATGCAGAATGCTAGGCTGCTTACAGCCGACCTGTCACCGACTTCCCTTCTTTTGTTGATGGCTTGGAGGTCGGTACGCAGTGGGGAGGAGTTCATGTAAGGCACACCTTAACCTGCTGTTGAAAACTCACCTTGCACTTGCAGTATTTTCATTCTCAGACATTCAGGTGACAGGAACTAGCTGGCTTATTTCTGCTCCCAAGGGCTCATGAAATGCTCAGGAAAGCACAGGCTGCCCCCCGGAGCGTGGTGAGCGGTGCCCCTGGCCTGGGCACCGGGCCGCGGGCCTCCTCGGAGCCTCTGCTCTTCATTGACATTTTCAAAAGAGAGATCGCACCGCTCCTGGCCTTCCACGTGCAGGGACGGTCGGCCCCGAGGGTTTTTAAAGCACGAGCTGAGCAAATCCGAGAGAAGCCCCCACTGCTGCCTGTGTGCTCAGTGCTCGGAGGAGGAGCCCAGACCCTGAGGAGCAGCGGACACGCGCTCCCGTGCCCAGTCGGCGGCCACTCCCCGCAGCTCCCTGAGCCGATTCGGGTGAGGACGGGGCCCTGACTCTGCGTCTCTGTCAGTATTTGCAGGCCTGTCACAGCTTTGGCGGGGTCCCGAAAAACATGGAGAAGCTGGTGAGTGGCGAGCGCCCTTCCTGGGAGTGTGGGAGCGGGGCCGCGACCCCGCAGCTGCATTGGCTTCTCTCCTGCGCAGGTGAAGCTGTCGGGTTCCCATCTGACGCCTCTGTGCTATTCGTTCATTTCTTACGTACAGGTAAGTGACTCAGAGGAAAATAGCTCTCTGGGTAAAATGACGGGTGCAGGATGCTCGTGTGAACCAAGGCTTCGCCAGCCCCGAGCAGCGTAGAGAAGATGGCTGGCGGCTCGCTGTGGGGGTGGGGGGTGGCGGTGCCTCAGCCCGCCTGCTTTGCCTCTGGGCGGCTAGGGGAGGCGCCATGGACGTGTGAGCCGGTGAGCCCGGAAGGGCGGCCCCACCAGCGCTATTGGGAGCAGCAGCGCGCTCTGGTGGGGGAGGCCCGTGGCCCTTTTCTGTCACTTGCCCAGATACCTTTTCTTCCCTTCTAAGAGAGAAAACGAATAGGTCCACCAGGGGCTTGGGGAAGTTGCTGGTGCCTCCGGTTTTCAGCTGCCACTGGATTCTTGCAACGCTCTACTGTTCGCTCAAAGCGGGGTTCCTCGGCCTTGGCTTTGCCATTTGGGGCCGTCCTGTACAGATCAGGGTATTTATCTCTGTCCCTGGCCTTGACCCTGCCAGATGCCAGTACCAGCCCCCCGAGTTTGACAACCCAAAATACCTCTAAAATTGCCAGATGTCTTCAAGTGGAAAAGTTAGTCCAGTTAAAACCACCGACTTAAACATCTGACGATGTCAGTGGTGGGAGACCTGCCTCGGTCCCCATCGTGGCTACTCACCCACTGCTGGTCAAGCGCAGGGCTCTGCTTTCTGAAGAGTCAGGATTCACCCACGAACAGACCAGTCCCGGTCAAGCTGCGAGAACCACTTGTTAAGTTGGGGGTGTCCTGTCTGCTTGGGCCACGATGCCCCTCTTGTTCCCTCTGCCTTGCACGGGAGTAGCCTCCTGTTGGCGTCTGTGTGTTGAGGGGCACCCTACACCCCTTGAGAATCGGCTGGCGGAATGCCCTGTGGGTGGGCCTAGCGAAGACAGTATCTGCTGCTGGCAGTGTCGCCTTGCCTTTGGGCCAGTCTTGTGAGCTGCGTCAGGACCGAGCTTCCACTCTCTGCCTGGCCATCCTGTGGCCTAGTCTCGTCGGCTTAGTCTCTTTGATGACACCGACAGACACGCTTCCTCACCCTCGTGCTCATGCGTTCTCTCGTGGTGCTGTTCTGTCAGACTAGTCTTTCCAGGGTTCAAGGTCATTTTCTTAGCGACAGTCCCTTCAGACTCGCTGCCTTGTGCCCTCCAGAGTGTGCCCTGCCCACGTGGGCCCAGGGCCAGCCTTCCCGCTCAGGTCTGTCTCTCGTTCTCTGGGGCGCGATGTTTTGCTGCTGGACGGCAGGGGACTCTGGCGGCCAGCAGGTAGTGCTTCAGCGCATGTGCCGCCCACAGAGCGGTCTTCCGCTTCAGTCTCCCTGACGCGGGTTTTGATTCTCTGCTGCCTTATCAAAATCCAGGGCTTCTTGGTCCTCTTTGGTTCTTTCCTTTCTGCAGGAGCCTTTGTTCCCCGGCTACAGCACAGGGGAGCCCTGGCTCCAGTGACCCCCCCCCCAATCCTGTCGGTGAGCCCATGGCATTAGACACCGTGGACAGCCCCCCCAACTTCCTCCTCTGGAACTGCCAGCTGCCTACCCTCCAGGGTCCCCTACTCCTTATTGCCGCCTCACCCGTTCCCACTGGAACACAGGCCTGCACCTGGCCAGGCCTGTCCGGTCGCTGCCACATGCTAGGTCCAAGGCCAGACTCAGTCTTCAGGACAAAACCCCGGAGGACTTGGAGCATCACAATGCTCCTCCCTCCCATCTTCTAGCACTTAGTGCTGGATGGCCCTGCCCACCTAGACGTGGTCCTGCTGAGAGCCCCGTGTTCTCCTGTCCTCACTTCCTGGAAAAGCCCCAGGGCCGGCAAGCTCTGTAGGAAAAGTTGGCAGGAATGTAGAATGTTTTTAATATTCCCTTAGAACAAGAACGGGAGCCTCAAGTACACAGGGGAGAAGGCAAAGGAGAGCGCTGCTGTTGCCACAGCCATGGTAAGCTGCTGCCCTTGGCCATGCTGTGGGGCTGCCATGAGCGGGAACATTCTAGTGAGAGAAAGAAGCCAGCCACCAAAGAAGAAAAAGGAGACTGCATATGGTGGGGCCTGTCCCGATAGGCGCAGCTGAGGAGACTCGGGGCTGGGTAGTGGTCCAGAGCTGGGAGGCGGTGCTAGCCTTGGGGTCTGCTTGCTTTTGGGGCGAAGGACACCTGTGCTGAAATGGGCCAGCCGTGCCCTCGGTGAAGACGCAGGCGAATGGCTGGGGTCGTGTCCAGCGGGCCCGCTGTTCGTCCTGTGGGTTCTGTCTCACTGAGACCAAGACAGACGTCCGCCAGGAGGCACCAGGAGGAGGGTGCGCGGGCTGCTCACGACGGGTCAGCGGTGGGGCTCAGGAGCCGGTGCCCCAGCACAGCTGGCCCGGGCCGTCCGCGGCCATCGTTGCGTGCCGAGGCCCCAGTTCTCAGCGTGGTGGCGCGTGTGCACCTACGCGGGCTCCTGCCTCGTGGCCACTTGGCCTTCAGGGTGTGGAGGCCACTGAGGCCGGTGCACAGGGGGGCCCCGGGGCGCACCCACAGGGTGCTGTACAGACACAAGGGAATGCAGGTCCGAGTGTTGAGCTGCTGTTTCTTCACATGAGAACGCCGCCGTTGGTGTGTGTAAAGCGCAGGTACACTGTCTATGCGTGAGAGATACTGGGAGGCGCTGCAGCCATCCCTGGCCCTGCGGGCCACGCGCCGGGGCACAGCACTGCCCTGTGCAGAGGGCGCAACTTTTAAAAGTACGAGATAGGGCCTCCCTGGGGGCGCAGCGGGCTAGAGCGCAGCACTGAGCTAAAGCCGCTACAGCGTGAGTCCGATCCCTGCCCCGGCACTGACGCACATGGCGCAGCAGACCTCCCCTGACCCGCTGCTCCCCTCAGCAGTGTGCTTCTCAGTCGGCTTATCCTGCTCCCCATTCTGTCTCGGGTGAGTGCTCTCACCGCCCCTGCACCTCTGGCCTGTACCCCTTTTCTATGTGCAGAAAATCTTAAAAAAAAGGAGACAGCCAGGTTTCCGCCGCCAGCCCTCAGCCGTCCAGACAGAAGCACGCACTGGCTTTCTGCTCTCGCAACACTTGGCTGCAGGCTGGCTCAGAGGGCTGCATGCAGAGCGCGTGCCCTCCCTTTTCTGTCTTCCTGTAGGCCAGAGTTCTCCGGGAAACCAAGCCAATCCCGAATCTCATCTTTGCGATTGAACAGTATGAAAAGTTTCTCATCCACCTCTCCAAGCGGTCCAAGGTCGGTATCGCTGCCTCTACTGCAGGACTAGTAAAGAGGCACACTGCTGGGGGCGGGGGGCAGAAACTGGGCTCAGGTCCTCACATGTCTGAGGGCCTGAGCCCACCACGGGGACGTGGCTGCGTGGGTGTGCCCGGTGGGCGCTGGCGGCAGGCGCCAAGCCCGGGTGCCCTCCTGTGCAGGTGAACCTCATGCAGCACATGAAGCTCAGCACCTCCAGGGACTTCAAGATCAAAGGCAATGTCCTAGACATGGTCCTTCGGGAGGACGAGGACAAGGACGAGGACGAGGACGAGGTCAGTCCAGCAGCCTTTCCTTCTGGCTGTGAGCAGCCCTGAGCGCGGCACAGATCTGGGGCAGCCAACAGCCGCCAGGAAAGAGCTGGAGTGACGGGCCCCTAGAGGAGTCCTAGCCGTGAACCAGGCTGCCCGGGTCTGAGGTGGGGTCATGACAACGGCCGTAGGCTGGGGCTTCTCCGTGCCCCAGACACAGGCGTGGGCTCTGAGAGGGTTCCCAGCAGCGCCGCTGCACCCTCACATCTTTGAAGCAGAACCCAGCAAGCCTTGCTCAGGAGCGACCCGAACTTGAGAGAAGTCTAAGTGCAGGGCAGGAGAGGCCATTCACAGTCCAGAAGTGCAGGTTTATTTACATAAAAGCCTCGTCTCCAGCACCACCCCGGGCTCTGGAGCAGGCAGTCCCAGCCCGCCCCTCCTGGCAGTCTCCCCATTCCCCGGCACGGCTCCCCCGCGAGCGGGAGGCAGAAAGTACGACTCGCACCCAACAGGACAGTGAAGGGCTCGTGCTTTATTTCCGCTGCCTCTGAGCAGCCACTGCACGTTCCTCACCCTCCTCCCCTCCTAGGGTGCTGCGTCAGAGCATGGGGAGCAGGACACAGAACCAGCCAAGAAGAAAAGGAAGAAATGAAATGCCTGAGTTATGTGGACTTTGGGGTTCCTGCTTCCTTGTACCCAACAAGCAGCCTCGCCCCATCCTGCAGCCCGCACCATGTTGGCGTCTTGGTTCTGAACCCACAAACTCAGCTGCGCCTTGCCTTGCCCGAGGCCGCCGCTCCAGGCAGGTCCTGCTAAACCAGAACTGGCCGGCCTTGGGCCAGCCCCACTGCAACAAAGCACAGCTGAAAGCCTGAGTTTGGGGAGCTGGGAGCCTGCGCCGGCCACGAAGCTCCACGGGAGCAAATCCAGCGCCTCGAGCAAAGCTACAGTCCGGACTGGCTGTGTCTCTCCAAGGAGCCTTTGGTGAGTTCGATTATCTGGTAAATGTCCAGCGCTTCACCTGGAAGACAGGGCAGCTTGGTCAGGACACTTCCCCGTCATGCCTCCTCTTGGGAGGAGGGAGGGTGTGGGTGAGTGAAGGTCGGGGCGGGGGGTCAGGTTTGGGAGGGTCCGTTTCTTGTAGAAAAATTCTGATGTGTTTGGCACTGAAGCACTTCTGTATGCCAGGGAGTACACTTTATACAATAAAATCCTCTCAGCACTGCTGGTGTGATCGCAGGCGGGAAGGGGATGGGGCATGTGTGTGCACACGCACACAGCTCTGGTTTCATTTGAGACGACCCTGTGACCTGACGTCTGACCTAGACAGCCCCCTGCCCCACAGGACTGGCCACGACGGCCACGCTCACCCTGGGGAATCCCGTATCTCCTTGCCATCCCCGTGGGGTTGGAAGGGGTTTTACAATCCATGGTCACTTCCTTCCTGAGGCACTGGTCAATGTCGACCGCACTGAAAAAGGCGACGGACTGAGGCAGATCGTGGAGACCCAACTTGTAGGCGAACATGCACCTGGAAGAGACAGCCTGTCTCCTCAGCTGTGTCCAGAGGCCCCCAGCGCCCCTCCGCCCACACGCCGAGTAGGTCCTGACCACTGTGCGCCGCCTGTCAGCCAGATCACTCAGGCTGTGCCGAGTGGCAGGCCAACGTGGCCCTGGGCACTAGGGGCTTTACTGCAAGAAAATGAGCTACTGTTTTTAAGTTACACCAGCAAATGACTGCTCGCACTCAGAATAAAGTCTTAAGTCTTCTGTGACTCGCAGAAAAAGAAGTGTGTTCTAGGGGGACCCTGAGTACCAGGCCCAGGAGCTGGAGCACGGCTAGGCCGCGCCATCGCCAGCAGGAGAGCTATCCTTGGACCGTTAGGGGAAGGAAGGCCGCATGCCTGGTCAGGAGGTTGCTGATCTGCAGGGCCAGCGCAGCGCGGTGGCGGTCCTCTTCGCGCACCAGGTAGCGGACCTCATCATGGATGCTGATGCAGAAGCGCCCGTCGATCGCAAACTCCTCGAAAAGCCACTTCATGGCCACGAGCAGCAGGTGCAGGTAGTCCACGGCTGAGCTCTGCACCACCCAGTTCACGCGGCTGGTCATAAACTGAGGGGGGTGGAGGGGCACCAGTGAGCCCGCGCCCGGCCTCACAGGCCCCTCCACCCACGCTCGGCAGAGGTACCTCCCCCTGGACCACGGAGGGTTCCAGGGCCCGGCTGATGCGGCAGCCCAGCACCGGGGTCCGCGGGGTGGCGGACGTGGCGACGCTCTCCAGCTTGTTGAACATCTCGGACTCTGTGCCCCCCGACCACGCTCGCTCAGCCACCACCTGCCACTTCCTCCTGCGAGACCTGAGGGCCGGGTCAGAGGCGCCTCAGACTTGAGAGCCACACCTGCCCCGAGGTGGCCCGCACCCTCCCTCCTTAATGCACAGGTTCTCACTTCCTGGAAGCTTCTTTCTGGATCCTGCGCAGGTCCTGCAGGGAAACCCAGCCGTCCTCAGTCCGGTCCACGGGCAGGTCCAGCTCCCGCACCAGCCATTCCCCCTCTTCTGACAGCCGGTACCTGCGGGCGGTCCCCGAGTCACGGCAGGGGCACTGGCCCTGCCTGCCTGTGCACACGCGCCTCACTCCGGCCCCCCGCTGAGAGGAGGCCACCCGCTGTGAAGTGAATGGCTTGTGGGTTCATGCAGCCACCAAGAGGGAACCCAGACGGGGACCCCGAAGAGGCCCAAGATAGGATGACGGCAGCCCGGGGCTGGCACTGGGCCTGCCGCCCGAGACCGGCACGAGCCGCGCTCCACCCAGCTGCGCGGTGCTGCTCGGAGGCTGCCGGCGGCCAGACCCTCACCGGCGGAGGCCCTTGGTGACGGCGTACATCTGGCGGGCCTTCTCAGCCGCCGCCTCCCGCGAGAGCCGGTGGTTGAACTGCATCAGCAGGCGCTCCGCGAAGGGCTGCCCCGCCCCGTAGATGCGGCCGTAGTTGAAGACCTTGGCGTGCTCGCGGCTGATGCCCACGGTGGCGGCCGTCTTGCTGTGCAGGTCGGTGCCCCTGCTCTTCCTGCCCTGTAGCGTCATCCACCCGAAGGCCGTGCAGCCTGGGGGCCAGCGGGCGTGAGGAAGGCGGCGCCCCGCCCCGCCCCCACCCTGGCTCGCCCCACCCCAGCTTGACCCCCCCACCGTGCATGCCGGCGAAGTGGGCGTCCCCCAGCACAGCCGCGATCCACAGCTCCTGGGAGTCCACATCAGCGCCCACAAGGACGTAGCCCGGGGGGGCCTGCACCATGGCCTTCAGCTCGCTGCCCACGCGGTCGGGCTGTGGAAGAGCAGGGTTAGGCTGCCCTGGGCGCAGCCAAGGCCTCTCCCGAGGGGGCAGCTTCAGGGAGCAGCAGACGGGCCCTGTAATTCCCACTCAAGGACCAGCAGTGGGGTGCAGGAGAAACCCTGCCCCTCCCCTCCTAGGCCTCAGTGGCACACGTTTGCTGAGAAATAGGTGAGTCGTTCACCCTGATAGGAGCTGACTCCTGCCCAACCCAAAATTCTGGGCCCTGCGACCCAGGTTCAAGAAATACCTAATACGAATGGGGCCTGGGGGTGCAGGGACACATACCCGGGCGTTGCTGGCTGTGAGCCACGTGGGTTCCACAGCTCGGCGGGTGATGGTGCCGGCGGTCACCACCTGGGGCAAGATGGCCCCGTAGCAGCCTTCCTCGTCATAGTCTGGATGCCTGGTGGGGGCGAGTGTCAGCAGCTGCCTCTGGGCAGCCATACCCGCCCCCCACAGCTCTGCGCCCACCATGCGGGGCCGGCCATACCTGGTGACCGCACGGGGCAGAGCCGACCTGGGCAGCCACACCACCATCTGGGAGCTGTGGGGAGACGGGAGGCTCGACACAGCCGAGGGGAGCAGAGCCCTCCCCAGCTTCGGGGCTGCTGAGCCACCTCCCTCTTCAAAGGGCCGGAGCAGGGTGTGGGGAGCCCTAGAATCTACTATCCACATGCCCAGGTCATCTGGGGCCCAGCCTCCGAGGCAGCTTCTGCTCCTGGCCTCCACCACCAGGACAGAGCCTACCGACAGAGCAGACTCTGCGCCCGGCTCGCCTCCGCGGAGAGCTGCATTTGCACCTGGGCTGGAGCGCCCCAGGGTCCCCGCCGCAGGGAGACATAGGCCGCAGCCTGCACGGGGAGGCAGGCTACCCTCGGGCCCGGGCTAGCCAGTCTCTGCCCTCCTCCCAGGCAGGCCCACCTGATCCGTTTGTGGGCATTCCTCCAGAAAGAGATCATTTTGTTGATTTCCAAGGCGCGGGGTCCACTGGCACCTCCTGGGCCAGCCTGCAGGGTGCCGTCCTCCATCTTGGGCAGGAAGTCTTTGGCAAAGGGGCTGCCCACATTGCAGCTGTTACCGTCCTGCAGTGGGAAAAGGAAGAGGGGCTGCAGGCAGCCGGCAGGCCCAGAATAGACCCCCCAACACCAAGTCCAAGCCTCGAGCTACCCGGCCAGTCTTTAAACACACACACGCAGAACACAAGCCTGGCTCCCCTGGGAGGGATGTCGCGCCAGACGCCAACACGCCTGCGTCACAACCCACCAGGCCCCTCGCCACCCTCGCCACCCCTCGCCACCCCTCGCCTGATTTCTGCAAGGAAAGCAACTTGGGGGTCTGGCCACTCTGCCCTACTGCAGCGGTCACTTCCTGAGAAGGCTGGCCCCTGGCCCAAGAACCTGGAGGCCTCTGCACTGGGGCGGAGCCAGGACACACCTTGTGAGGCAGCTTGAAGAACCAGCAGCCAGGGACGTCCACCTCTAGGTAAGGCCCGTTGCCATGGTGATAGGCCGGCTGGCTGGCTTTCGGGCCGCCAGCAGCAGTCTGTGGGGGCCACACACCTAGATCAGGCCCTGCTCCAGCACCTGCATTCAGCGAGGGCCATGGGGTAGGGGTAGGAAACGGGCCAGAAACAGCAGCTGCCCCAGCAGGAGGTGACGGGACGGTCTCCAGCGTGGGGCGTCCAGGGGTAGGGCCTGTCCGCCACCCCGCACCCCCAGGCCTGTGGGGAAGAAGCATGGACAAGGGGGCCAGCCACACAGAGCCCGCGCAGGCACCCTGCTCACCGGAGCCGGGAATGTGCCCTGCGGTGCCACCAGCACGGGCTCCGTGGGCGCGTCACTGTCCACCTCCAGGCAGCCGAGCTCCTCCACCTGCAGGGTCCAGAGCGAGGGGCTTACAAGATCCAGGGCGAGCAAGGGGCCCGGCTGGCTCCCGGCCCCACGCCCCCGGCGGCCTCACCGTCTGCCACAGCGCACTGCTGTCGGTGAGCAGGAACTCCTCGGCCAGGCCGGCCTCCCGCGGCGCCGGGGGCTGCTGCTTCCCCTGTTCAAGACAGTGCTCCCTGTACAGGGACTCGATGGCTCTGGGCAGAGAACAGCGCGGCCTGATTATGGCTGCACGCGGCCACAGGCGCCCGCCGGCCGGCCACACCCAGCAGCCCGAGTCCACTCTGAGGCAGGGTGGACAGCGCGTCCCCGAATTTTGACAGGGAGTGAGCGATGCAGAGACTCGGCACAGGGCAGGCTGGTCTGACTCAGACCTAAGCTCCTCTTCGCCACCACCTCGACAAAGCTCTAGAAGCCGAGCTGTGGCCAGTCAGGCCCCAGTCTACCCC